TAAGTTTACGATTGTGGCGATTTGGGTTAAAAGTTTGTAAATTTCAATCAACTCACAAGTGGTTCAAAGGGAAAGTTTCTTTTGAAAGTAATTCTATTATTCTTAAAGCCTAATCGTAAAGGGTCAATCTAATAAAAGCAAACTGCTCCACTTTCCTAAGTAATGTCTATTCGTGCATGATAGACGGATGTGTACACGAAGGCAAAAGTGTGGAATATGTACCACTCACTTTGCCATGGAGGCCTACTTTCTCCTCCGAAGGGAGATGCAGACGACTTGACGACCCTACTTTCACAGAATTTCTTTGATAACACCAGTAAGTCAATAGAAGAGAAGGGCGTATAAGCCAACAATTTGGGCGATTTATTCCGTGGAAGGCCAATGCAGACGGTTTCTTTGCGTGCAGTGCAGAGAAAAAAAGTTTCCCCAGACTTTGGAGAAGGACATCAAAATATAAGCAGTAGGATGGCCAAGAAACACAAAAAATAGAATATAAAATAGCGGATGCATCTGAATATTTATTTTTCCAATGAAGCTGCTCTAATGTTGTCAGAGGGCTAGGAAAATATATGCCGTGGACTGTGCACTTTGCCTGGGTAAAAACTGACTATCGCCAACTGTTGTCACGTACGGATGAGGAGAACGGTAAGTCAGAGGAATGCAGATGAACGTAACGTAATATCTGCAGAATGCAACTTCTAAAAAACTGCTGAATTTAAAATCTCTCCCAAACGAAGCAAACGGAGGAGCTGGGAAAAAACCGAACGAGTCAAGGACACAAAGAATTTTTTTACACATTCCCCCAGTACCACGGGGTAACTTTTACATGCACACAGCATGCACTTGGAATGGTTATACAAGTTGGCTAAAATTTTGTAATATGTTTTATCGAGTTTGACTTAGGTCATAAATATTAACAATAAAACCTACTCAGCATTTTCGTATAAATATATATGCATGCATGTAGATGGGTCTGATGTGACAATTCACACTCCAATTCTGACCGTACTTATTTCAAAAAATTCACAGAAATTCGGATGTAATGTGCATATGGCGAAAGGTTAAAAGGCACTAAATAAATATGCGAAGGTCACGTGTTCAATATGGTTTTAGAGTTGTTGAGGATATTACGCTGGAGAAATCTCAAACGATGAATGGTTTTACGTTTTAGTTGAATGTCTCCTCTTATCCTTATGAATTTAGTAATAAGTAAAACTACTCAGAAGATTTTCCTAATTGTCACCTGCTGTACTTTCATCATAACGATATAAAGGTTAATTGAAGCGATACTTTCTCAGCAAGAGGCAGGCACCCCCGCTTACACTGGATTTTAAATTAACTGGAGGAAAAGCGAGATAGATAAGCAAAAAATGTCTCAAAAGAAAAACTCACCTCACGAACTGGACCTTGAGCAAATGACATTTGAAAGTTTCAAAGTGGGCACAATAATTTTGTTATGCAGAACGGCGAGATGTATAGTGACGAAAACAGGAACAAGGGAACTTAACTTAAGTATTCTTTAGAAGTCGACATGTTTTCAACTCTTTTGTTCACAAATAGCCAGTGTCAGTCAACAAATGGTTGTTCCATTGGGAATTTTCCTATACACAATCCTATTCTGCTGCCATTTTCAGTTGTGCATTTCTACATTTTTGCACGTGACCACGTCAACTTTACAAGGAACCCATGATGAATTGGACTGATATTGAAAGCTTTGGAAGCATTATGACGAGTGCATCTGGAATTTTAGAATTCTAAAGTGTTTGTCAAGTTGCCCCAGGCTATTTTTCGACTCATTTATTCGTTGAGTGTCAATTATCGTTGTGTCAAGTCTTCATTCCACTGTTGGACTTAAATCTAAATATTTCTTAAAAGACATATTTGGAATATTTGTCCATTGGCCAGCATATCGATTGGTACAAATTTTCCTCTTTCTCTTATGACCTAATCGTAGACACATTGGGGGAGATGATTGGGAAGTCGTTTGTCACCTTGATTAGAGTTTTTAAGTCCACCGATCCTCAACATCATCATTAGAAAACAGGAACTCAGGGTGAGACGACGAATAAGTTGGTGTGTCGTCAGATCAGGAACTTCGGATTTGTCGAAGGTCCCGTGATAAATGTGAGTAACGTCGTTTGCTGTCACTCACAATCACATCATTGTGAGCAGTATATAATCCAGGGGTAAATAAATCGATTAGGATGATGGCAAATATTTTGTTTCACGGATGGAATAGCCAGGAAGGACAAACTACTCTGAAGGTTCTTTGTTTTTGATTGCAGAAGGAGAGATAAAGTGGTGCTCATATTAGCCAAAAAAGTTGACATTTTCATGCATGCGGTTTCCTGTTCCACCTTATTCGCTCTGCAAATAATGGGATCGTGCTTTCTCTTTAATCATACTTTGATCTATGAACTCTATGACTTTCTCTCAGTTGACTTGGCTCTTGATTTTTCTGTGGAGACATCCGTCCTGGAAAAATTTGGCTTTGAAGAGTGTCAAGCTATGGTGGTTTGTTATATAAATTATCGTCGTATACGCCCACAGCATTAGAGCCAAGAAATCCATCCATCAATCCGTCGCGTGAGAGAGGAGGAGGAAACGACGACGGCTGAATAATCTTGATCGCTCTCCTCGTCCTCTCCTCAGGGTCGTCTATTTGGCGTCGGAGCGTCAACTCCAACGAATGGCGTCTTTGTTTTCATAAAAGTTTTTTTAGGTCGATATTGGCAGCGTCTAGTCCAACAATCGTGTATGGAAACACAAATTCACATACGTACCTCCGTGCATTGTTGTCATTGTGCTATGTGTGGTGCACTAGGGCATCCAAAATTGTGCAAAGATTACGGCGTTTGAATTATTTATTCGTAATCCAGTGTTAACATTCCATGGCATCATTCATTGAAGTTGATAAATATGAGGCGAAAGTACCGAAATTTGAGGAACGCATATTAAGTGAATGATAAAGAGATGCTTTACGTCTGTGAAATTGTAAGTATCGTTTGTTCACAAGGACATTTATAGCTATAACTTACGCTCCAATATTTACTTCCAAACTGAATAACTTATATCGTATTATTCAAATTAGTTGCGTACGTGGGTATTACTATATTAATAGATGTGATAACTACTTAACTGTAGTATATATTTATAAGTACAGCTTAATGCATATTGGTGTACGCATCTTATTTAGCAAATATGGAGTAAAGTGATCTCCCGTACTTACGATGGTAACGACGCAGAAAGCTGCAAGTTTGTTGGACTTGAATGAGTTTAGTCATAAAAGGGCAAAGTTAGAAGGAATACTCCAACTTAAAGATTGTGACGACCAAGCCATCGACCAGAACGATTGTTACACATACATTGAATTTGTCTTTGTTAGTTGCCAACCGTTTTATGATTTCGACTGGACACGCCATCGAAAGTAAGAGTAAGTTGAATGAGCAAGTATCTCAAGGTCTACATAACTTTGAGCGTATAATAATTCATTGTAGCAGTGAAGTCATAAATGTTGGTGAGCTTATATATCTGCTTGTATAAATGTCCTGAAGACTGAGAATGCATATACTTTGCATGGGAAATACGTCGTGTGCATACGTATTTGCATTTCTTTGGCTTCGAGTGGTTACATTTTTATTTTGGTCCATTATCTCATTCGAATCTTCTATCCCTTCGCATTCATCAGTGGGATTGGGAGGAGAGGGAGTAAGGCCATCCAAAACTCATAAAGAATATCAAGAAGTCTGAAGATTTTTCCCTGGTGCCCGACGCAATCAATTTTCATTGAGCTGCTTCTGCGGAATCACTGTTGCTCTCTCTCTCTTCTCCAGAAATAATAAGTTGGCCCATCGCAGGACGGGTTTCTTCTTTATCAGATGGATACACATAATTCGATACCTCAACCCCAACAACTTCAGCCAACTTTGGTCCATTGTCTGGGTATATGGAGAAAGTTTTTTTTATTCTGTCTCCTCTGCGTTTGTTGCGTGTTTACAAAGAAATGGGACGGAATGTTGTCTGATTTTGTTGGTCGTCTCCATTCCGCAGATCCAATTCGTATTTATGTACTTTTACAATTTGCTTGCTTATGTACGATGGGTGGATGATGAGATGGGAACTTGAAAATCTTGGAGCATGTATCATTACATTATGCAGCATTATATAACATATGATATCCATGAACTGATGGGTCTGTTTGGTCTGGTGACAATATGTTGCAGATTACACTCAGGAGACGAATTTATGTTGTTTATATCATTCCCGTTCGTCGACTTTCTCACAAACATAGCAGCAAAGCAAATTCTGTAATAAAATTACTCCCACTCTGTATTCAAACCTTGTACTTATGGCTTGTTTTTTTGCGAGTAAATATGCAGACATCTCAATGCTGCACAAAGGATTTGACATTCGTATTATAAAATCTCCTCATTGGTCATACCCGAGCACTGGAGGGGATCCATGTGAAGAACGTGTGAATGAAAAATGTGAGAGTCCATACAAGTTTGATTTACTGCAAACGAGATTATGCATGTTTTTTTGTTTATATGTAAGATGGGTTTTTTTGATAAGATTATAAGTTTATCAAAATGGATACCAAACATTGAATTGGGTGTAAAATAGAGATGTCAATTTGTGTGCAAAGTATGTACTAAACTATACTTGTTATTCCAAGAAGATGTTTCTCCTTCGCAAAGCTGCACATAAATTACTGTATAGCCACCACAAAAAGCAGCCATATTCTGGACTATTTAATAATAATTTGGAGGTATGGCATAGATGTGCAGCATCACAAATACGACACTTTATTACACTTGAGCATCTAGTCACTAAATAACAAGTGTACAAGTAAACAAGGTGAAAGTACATATGTTTCAGATTGAGACACACAGACGTAAGTCGACATGTTACGTAGCCACGAGTCACGACGGGTGGGAAAGAGATGGTCAAATAAAATGATTTATAAATATTAATAAATAAACGTTGTGATTTATTTGCAGAGTCCACGCTTAGTGTCTCAGTACCTGTACTGGTATCATAATAATCAAATGATCAACCTCATTGGGTCAGGAATAAGTGTTCATACAGAAAATGGGGTGCATATTCACTCCAGACTAACAGTGCCGCAGGTAAGATAGATCTATTTTACAACAGAATTTACCCCCTAATGACGGTATAAGAAATGTGTACGCCATTTATTAAAAAATATCGTGCGTCAGGGCGAATGAAGAATAATTGGGTTTAATTCCAATTTCAGGCTGGTCCTCAACACGCTGGTAAGCTCACCACTCACTACATTCAACTTGCTATTAAGTATTTGCAATCAGTAATATTTTATAACGAGTGGACTCTGATAATTTCATAAATTAAAAAAAACTGTACATTTCCCTTTCGCTCAGGTACCTACACATGCAATGCAACAAATACGGAGTCAGCGACAGTTCAAGTATACGTTTCCGATGGTAAGATTATGCTTTTTTCAGTTTGAGACAAATTGCCGGAGGAATACGGACAATATATTCCTGTCATTGCTTACTTTCACCAGCCTCACATCTCAAATACGCAAAGCATACGCAAATCCGCACCGCACTGTCATCTCAGCACTTTCCTCAATTTGTTCTCTCACCTCTTCATCCATCGTACACGTACCTGCATGTGCCCAAAAGCACTACTCGTCTTCCATGGCATCCTATTTGAGCAGCGAGCCTTGTGGACATTATGGACCTTTTTATAAGGAAGATTGAGTACACGCTTTTATTTGGCGATGGATCGCGTAGTAGTTGTGACGGTTTTGGCGACAGTAACCTAGTCTCCGTGTCGTTGCCCTGTGGTTTACTGTACAACACACTCTCACGAATTCACAAATGATTGCTTCTCTATAAATAATTTCTCGGTTGACATTTCACTATTTTTCCTCCAGTTTACTCCGGCAGGATTCTCCACAACCAGAATCATATCAACTATGTTGAAAATATTTGACATGAATGAAGTTCTCAGAATTTGGTAGAAAAATCAGGAAATTTATTATCATCCAGCCTCACTGAGTTTCTTTTGTTAAATCGCTAGGCATTATAAATCTTACAAGTCACCCCTACATGTCCGAGAATGTGAAATGTCCCTAATGAACTGACAGTATAAACTACAGGCATTATGGCAATAAAGCTGTTATTTTAGTCTGTGGGCTAAGCATTAATAAATAATCTAAATTAATTTGTTTTCCATATTCTTAATGTAACAGGAGAAAGTTTGCGGGTTCCGCAGCATAAATAATTTGTAAATATCGGCCAAAAATTTGTAGCCACATAATATTTGTCACTTGTCACTCCAGGTGCAATGCATCATAATCATATCATTCATTACGTAATTTGAAACGAGAACAGTGGATCATGTGTATATAAGTATAATTTAATCATAGTGAGAGCATGCTTTTGAAAATTTTTTCTCTAGACCCACAACTCCACAAGGTTTTACAAATTGACACATTGAAAAAATGGGGCGAGAGTGAAAAAGAGTAAAACTAATCGAAAAAGATCATTGATTGATAGACAAACGTTCCTGTATGTCCCCTTTGCAGCCAAATGAATGTGTACACGCTCACATGAAATGAACCACACATGCCTCCCAAGTAATTTAATATTGCTGCCCACCATAGAATAGGGAATGTTTATTTTAATGAGATGAAAAATCATGCCGAATTTTTATTTGATTATTTACTACACATTATTTTTGCTACGTATTGATTGGGAATTTCGCAAGATAATTATGCCCTCAAAATCGATTGAAACAGTGCGGAATTGAATGTATAATGTAGCGAAAATTCACGTTTTTTCACAGCGCTCCGACCTGTCAACACCCAACATTCTCTTGCTAATAGATATTCAACATGCGTAAAAGTGTATTTTTCATGTTTTTTTATTCGTTGCAGGAGATAAAACTGCTGCCATTCAACGAGCGACTGGATCACATTTCGTTCCAGCGAGCTGGACAATCTTCCTCGTTCTCCTCATGATTCTCTTGAGGGTTGAAGGAGGCTGCAGATAAAATATGATCTTCTCTCTCTCTCCGCACCAAGAATGATTATCCACCCATCTCTCACGCTCCCGATGATCACTAATCATTTCCTTCCGGATTTACCAGCCAAACTCGTTTCTGCCATCATCATCCTGCACCATTCTACGCTCCCACTACGTACGTACGTCCTGCAATAATACGTGTGAACAGAAACAATCTCAAGTTCCGATGATCGGGTGCGAAGTTTTGGGCTAAATTCCTCTTCTACCATTATAGACTTGTATTTATTGCTGCTCCTGCAAATATAAAGTAGTCAGTGTTTCCACACATATTTACCGATGAAAGTTCCCTTGCAAATTTTTTATGAAACAACTCTTATACCAGTTTGTATTATATAATGAGACGAAGGTTTAAACAGTGACACATTTATTGCCAACGAGGAGATGTTGATGCGTGTGCGTCGTGGAAATGGATTTACGAGTTCTTATGAATGATTGTCAACTGATGAATTTTTCGTTAAATCGTATTTTAAGTACTATGTACGTTTTATTCCAAATAATTACAGAGCATTTATTCTCTTACATGTTAAATGGTGAATTTATATTAATGTTAATCAATTAAAGTGGTGCGAAGTGGTCGTTGTAATCTAAAATGTAAATAAGATGACTCCCCACGTTGTAAAGTTTAAATGGGGTACTTTTACCTTCTAACTGTGATATTTCTTATACTTACTCGAATACGGGGGATATGACAAATCTGACACAATGTTGTACGTGACATGTATACAACATATGTATATATATACATAATTACCTTCTAATTACGAATATTTAACCTTGTACATAATTCTAGTCATGAGATTAACTACTTGATTAATACATTTATTAACTAATCGGAAATGATGTAGGCGTGCCGAAGTCGTCTTTGAATAATTGTGGGGTTGAAAGTCTGCTAGCTCATAAGCAAATAATCATATTGCGTGTCTGCGCAATACAAATGCATAGCGTTTGCACCCAGCACAAGTGAAATTCAAAAAAAGTAATGGCATTTAAAATACCATTTGTGTTTGGGGCCCCAGTTGTCTTGCTTTTTGGTTTATGTTAATCCGAACTCTAGAAATAGCAGACTTTTCACTCATGTTTCCTCACCTATAATTATGAATTTTTTCAAGTCCGCAGTACTAATTACTGCTGTCGTCCAAATAATCTTTGTTCATTATCGACAAGTCAAAAAATTGTGCCAAGACAGGTTTCACACCCAGAAACTTTCTCCAAAACCAAAACCTTACAATTTGCACCACTACAGGATATGCAACAAATCATAAATAGGCACATGAATACATACAAATAGTAAATAACCACTAAACGGGGACAGAGTAACAAGTGTGTTAACAAATCACCCATTAACTTAAACGGTGTAAAGTCATGAACAGTTCCTTGAGTTGCAAAGTAATTTTGCAGCGATATGTGGTAAAAGGTTGCCTCCCATGTTGATAAACAGGTCATAAACGGGCAAACTAGATCAACGACTTGTAATTAGTCCACCATGATCACAACGGGCAAGAGTAGACGACGGGCCAGAGAGAAAGAAGTAATGAATGGTTGCCGTTATTATCCTATTTGCTAACAAATTGTAATAACACCTCCCGCTAGATCAGTTTGCTAAGAACAAACAAACACATTGAAATAAAGGACTACAAATGTCGCATGTAATGCCAAACCTGAAATAATTTCAGACAACTCCGAATCTACCAAAACAAACATGTGCACATACACGAGGAGCCAATGCATATCGCCACCAGCCATCCTTGTACTGCTGCTGGCTTCCATTAGGCGGAGGTGAAATACAGTAATGCCGAAATTAACTCCATAAAAGCGAAGCTTCCTGTTGTGAAGAAATGTTGATAACATTTATCTCCAACTCCAAAAGCGCAATATTCATTACTCGACTATTCTCGCCATATCTTGACTCTGTGGAAAGTGTTCCTTTTTCCCTCTTTCTAGCTTTGCATACATATTACACGGTCGGTGACGGAAGAACTTGAAAGTATCATTGCGTTTCTCTTTCTTTTCTCTCGTAGAGGCATTTTCTGGCCAATTCGCAGGAATAATGCATCTGATACGAGTGTGGCAGCGGTCATGTTCCTAAAAATAAAGAGCAATGGTCTAACGAACAAGTTGTGCTGGCGAGAGTCAGAATGGGCACGTATTTATTTGGTGTAGGTAAAAATGGCGTGCTTTGGTCACGGTGGAACATAAAGCATGCATGGCGTGCTAAGAAATCAAGAGAGAGAGAGAGAGAGAAAAGAACATTAGAAAGCTAATTCAGATTTTGAGATTGAGTCCCTTTCAACTTGAACCTTCCACGACTAACACTTAAAGAAAGTACTCAAGTTCCTAAACTAAGCATTACTGCTACAAGCAAGTCAAGTTTGATTTCACCCTTTCTTGAGCTTAGTTGTACAAAAAGTGTTATTTTGCTTGAGTTAAAATGCACAGAGACGTGTTATGTATGTATTCGGTGGTAAAACATTTCATAAATCATTGAACTCAAAAGAAGGACCAATAAGCAAAGCACATGCATGGGAAAGTTTGTACATATTCTAACAAAATGAAAATGCTTTCCAACGTCTTCTTGAGACAAAATGGGTTCTTTCTTGTGCTGCACTTTCACTCCATAAGACTTGCTTCTCATTACAAAACCAGATTTCATCCTGGGAGATGAGGGCAGTAGGACGCAAACTATTATTTGCGTTGCAGCAGTCAAGCCAAAAAAGTTGGGAGACAAGTTTGATTTTTGATTTGGGTTCCGGTCTTCTTCTGCTTCGTAAATGCAGTGGTCTAAACTAAGGAAGGGAAAGAAGAAGCCTGCAAAAAATATGCGAATGATGCGACTTCCTTCTGGCTGAACTATATCTACATATCTACAAATAGATACGCATACATTCACCCCGGCGTCCAACGTAGCTGTCTGATTTTCCAGTGTAAAAGTGAAAGTAAATACGATCTGGGCGGACAAGGACGACCATTGGTGCATGTTTATGAAGTAAGAAAGAGGCGCAGAGTGTATAGTTTTGCATTTGGAGAAAGTAAACAAACAGTAAAACCAACATCACAAAACATGATTTGGATTGAGCTGGAGTTTGGTTTTAGTGGAGGAGAAAGTTTCAAGTGGCACAAAAACGGGAGAAAACTCTTTACGTCCAAGTGCGACCAAGAGTACGTAGCAGCAGACCATCATCAGTCAGAATATTGCACGGCGGCAGTGGTCGTGCGGTCCTTTCTACTTCTTCTTATATTTGGTTGGATACTTTTATGTACCTCTCTCGCCCCCACTTGTTTTCACCACCACTTGCTCCAGTTTTACATAAAAGCTTGATAACTCTGAGCAATGTCGTGCATGAATTTAAATGGAACCAAGCATCACGTCAGATGGAGAGGGCAAAAAAATGAAACTGCCATGAATTTGATTGTGTGAGTTGACTTCTTTTACTTCCTTTTGCTTTCCTTTGTTTCTTCTGGTGTGGAAAGAATGTTGACCTAAATGGGACTACTATTGCAGTGTTGTTTAGATTGGACATGAGTTTATCCTAACAACGGTGGCATAATATTATTGTGCGATAAGAACAAAAATCATTTGGGTACGATGTGGGATATGCATATAAATATATGTATACGATCATTCGCGTTAGGGAATGCTTTCTCTGTTGTTTTTTTAATAAAAAATAAGATTAAGAAAAATTTTGGCTCTATTTGTGCTGTGTATTATGTGCTTGGCGTAAAAACTGGGAGTACGTACTTAAGTGTATACAAGAATTGTGTCAATTTGATATGTGAATGGACTTATCAACTCCCAAAATGACATTAAGCACTGTTACATAGTTGGTGGTAATGCTATCACACCAATTTATTTCTAGGTTAAAAGCAGTAAAAACAGTCCGAATTCCGAGGGACGTACTTAATGTACGTCGTTCAAATAAACAAATACGTATTTTATTTGGAACAACTTATCTTCTGCTTTCCCCAGAACATTTACGAATGCTTTACTCCATGCACAACAGCACATGCCTATAATAATAGTAATACTAATAATGCTTAACGTTATTTGAACCACAATTTGTTCTAATATATTTTACTTATTAAGTAAGGCAATAAATAATTATGTAAAGTGATTGCGAATGAGTAAATATTCTTCTTCAGTCTCGTAACGAATGATAAATATTAGGCATGCATTTTTATGTGTATGATAAAAATAGTTTACAATTTCCAAAGCTGTTTAAGAGAAAATATGAAAAAATATGTGCTTAATAGATGAAATCTTTACCTGTGTAAATAATGTATGAATAGCTAAGCATATGCGCATTTGAATAACCGAATGTGTTTAATAATGAGTGTGAGACGAACGCATGAAAGTTGTCAGGATTTTTAATTACATTTGGTCAATGAATTACTGTCAATTGAATCTCTTGAACTCATAAACCTTGTATACAAAAAGTGTATTAGCTAATATTATCTGATAGTGTGAGTACGTGTGTAATATTGAAATTCTCAACATGTATAGACCATTAAACGTGCGTATAGGAAATAAATGGAAAATTCCATTGTTGTCAAATGTATATGAAATAAAATATATGTAATTATTTAAGTTTACTCATAATAAAGTCCGATATCCTACTTCACACCTACATGACGTACATATGACACATCGACACAATGTGTCAAATCATGGTCCGTTTTGTGTTAAAAATGTGATAAGTCACAAATTATTATTCAATATGCATATTTCAATAGTTAGTGGGAGCATGTAGTCTTACTATATATCGTACTTACGTATGATTAGTGGGGCGCATCAAATTACTATTACTCTAACTCTTATATAAACACCAATTTGTTTGAATGGACAAATGGGTTTACGAAGGAGGTAGAGAAGGAGAATCGATCAATATGAAGTACCTTTAGCAGACGATAATCTGATTTACTGCACCACCAATCTTCTTGATCAGACTGGTTTGACAATCTGAATAATTCAGTAGGATTACTTCACTCACCTACTGATCTCCCATACTTAAACTGTTTCTTTCACTGCCTCCATCGTCAAGCACCGTCACAGGTGAATGGATAACAAGGATTTAGCTAAATCCTAATATAAATACGAATAAGGTCCCTACCAAACATTCATCTCAATCAGTGGGACTCACATAAATTTTAATGACGATAAAACCTGGCTAGTAGCATTAAGAAATAGAGGCAGGTCATTAAATTGATGTAGAGATAAATGTGCGCTAGGTGCCCTCTAAGGCGATAGGTGATTTGTCTCATGATCCGGACAATAACGTAGAATGAGTGTTATTAGATAGACACTCATTTCTCGTATGAATAACAATTTGAGTTGCCAATAATTGTCACATATTTCTTTATTGCGCGGAGAAATAAATCTGCGCGAGATCGTAAGGATTAATCGACTCATGATATACTTATGTACAGGTAAAATAGTATGCTATACATTTGCTATATATTTGGGAACTCTATACATCTCATAAGCAAATTCTTCTGCAAAACTTTCATCACATTCTAATCCTACATAATCAATTTCTAAAGAAAACGGACCGTCAACTTTTGCAGCAGCAATCCCAAAGGAAGATATTTGAGTAAGCGGTACCCGTTCTTGAAAGTCTTGTGTTCTGCCTTTACTTGCCATCACAAACTTACTAAAGGGGATCTGATTTATAGAAAAAAATAACAATCAGTTTTACACCATCGTCAGTTAAATTAACTTGAAGCCTAATAAAGGGTACTCTGCTTATAACTTGCAAATTTCATTGAGAATATCTCACCTTAACAAATTGCCAATAAGGGCCACCTCGTGTAAAAAGAACATAATGATACACATCGTTCCACGTGATATCGTAAAATCCAGCAACGGAAAGATTAATCACAAAGGATCTGCCATCGCCTCTTACTCTCATCACCAAATGAGTATAATTGGACCAGTCCATATGTGCCCGACGCTTGAAGGATTTCTAAAGTAATCCAGTAATATGGTAAAATTCACTTAAAACATAGTTTATGCCTTCGATCGAAGGAAAGCTTTCTCCGCTTTGCTTACCACAATGTCATTCGATTTCATTATACAGTACCCAGCATATTTCACTCTTCCGTCTTTCGGAGGTCTAGTATTAACAAAACCCTGAAAAAGCCCCTTTCCTAAGGAGGAAGGAAGGAAGTAAATCAAGGAACCGTCCTGTATTACATTAAAATATCTCGAAAAATTAATTATACCGGTTGGACTCATGACTAGCTCACATTTGCTAAACCCTTCGTTATGGTCGCTATCTGAGAAGGCCTGAAATTGCGACAGTGTGTTCTTATTATTAAATGTCCACACTGGATCTCTATCCCCTAAAATATATGAAAAAATCCACATAATATATTATAAATCTGCAGTCAATAGTTAGTTAGGTGACTATATTAAACCGTGCAACATAGGTAATAATAAATCCATACCGTGTATCACCCACAAATGGCTGTCATCACCCGTGACATGGTCTTTAACTTCTTTTGTCCATTTGAAGACCTCATCTCGTAAATCCCTGAATCCGTCCTTCAGCCCCCAAAGTTTTTTGAGTTGTTCCTAATTATAATTGATTGTTAAGTGAAACTTTACTTTCAAAAAACGTTATTTCCTTATGTCATCAATTAATTATTTGTGCAACCTTTTCATATTCCTTCGCAAATTTTTTCTGGTCTCGGTATTCTCCTCGAGGGCTTGACTCCCAAAACCGATTAGAAACGCTGGTGGACTGAATACCTCGTTCATTAGAGGGAAACAGTGAACGACGACACTGTCGACATGTATCGTGGAACAACTTGGTATTTTTCCACATATTTCAAAGTTTCACTTTCGTCACAATCCGAGATTTTGACAACTGGAAAAATAAGTTTACATTTTGTCCTTCGATCATCAGCACAAACGGAACGAATCAACAAAACATCGAATGGGCTGAATTAGTGGGGAAGGAGAAACTCCCGCAGACTTGACTCGTGCCCATCCACAGCCAAACTTTAAATCTACCGACAACAGCAATTCTCCGAAAGGACGTCTCCCGAATTCAAGTTAATTTAATTTGTAATTTGGTAAGATTTCAACATTTGATTTATTGTGGTGATTGTTACGTCTGTTTTGGTAGAACTGGTGTTAGAATAATTGTGAAATTATATTATGTGTGTGTTTTAAGTTGATTTTATGTGTTGCACTGTATACATTTTTGCTATTGTCACATAAAATATTGATCCAATAATCCAATTGCCTTTTTAGGTAAACGAGAAAAAAGCTACTTTGTTAGGTAAATGGACACACCAGGAGAAGATTCTGGCTTTGGGTATGAAGATCCACTTAACCTACTGGAAGAGGGATCGCATGGTATTAGTGTAAATGTAAGTTTATGAATGCAATTTTGAATTCCAAGCAACACTTACCAATTATTCTTTTATATCTGTTAGCTCCAACAAAATCCTGATGAATCGGATGAAGGAATTGAACTGAATGCTGGGTTTGGGATGAACCAGGAAGAGGATCCCTTAATGGCTGATAACTTTGCTGATAACCTGAATTTTGTTCAAGAAGGAATAATTCCTCCACATATCCAATTGCAAATGGCTCACGAGCAATTTAATCTTCAACATCAACCGGATCAGTTTGAAGAGTTGCTTCAACAAGGAAATTTCGGATTAGGAGGTAACCTTGTACTTCCAAACATGAACCAACAACAAGTACATTTACAACAAGACCCTCCTGGCGATGACAACAATAATGACAGGCCGGATGATGTAAACAATAATACAACGGATCCAAATCTACGTCAACAACAACAGTTAATTCTAGAGCAGCGACTTCAGCAACAGCAACAAATAGCACAATTAGAACAGTTTGAGAATGATAATGGGGAGCAGGAAGAAGTCGTTAACGATGACAACAATGAGGTCAAGTTTGACGTTGGCGGACTAGTTGATGATAACGACGAGGTGGAAATTATAACAAATGGAACTACTCACGGGAAGAAGGATAAGCGAAAAAAGAAGAAGAAAAAAAAGAAGAATCGGGTTTTCCCAACCGATATTGTCAAGGAAGAAACAAATGTAGAAAATAATAAGCAAAACGAGAATATAAAACCGGACCCAGATGTCGAAATAGAGTAAGTTTGGATTTTTGGAACACCATCGTCAGCTAAATATATTATTTAAAAGCGCATATACATATATATTGCACTAATTGATTATTATGTATGTTTTTCAGATATGTGGCGGAAAGATTAGAGTTGAGCGTATTTGATCCCATGTACCGAGCATTTGCTAATGTATTTGAAAACTTCCGGATAAGTGACTTTCGAAAATTGCCAGATGGGGAGAAATCAGAAGACCCAAATTTGAACCTCAAGAAGGTCCCTAAAATTGACCTAGAAGAGGACGATGCTGACGTATGATATTGTTCCTATTTCACCATTGTGTAGTAGTAGTATATTTTTAGTCGTTGTTGATGATAAGAAGCTCAAGCAAGTTACAATTATAGCTATTGATTAACTAACACAATATCTATTTTGCATTGTACAGAAAAAGGACGACGACAAACCCAAGCTATCAAAAAGGAAGCTCAAAAAGTTGACTCGTTTGTCAGTGGCAGAGTTGAAACAGGTTGTTTCAAGACCGGATGTCGTAGAAATGCACGATGTCACGGCTAAGGATCCTAAACTGCTAGTTCACTTGAAAGCTTACAGAAATACGGTCCCAGTGCCAAGGCATTGGTGTTATAAACGAAAGGTTTGTGGAACTTATTATAAATAACAATAACATTTGTGTTTGTATTGTCAGGAACCTAAGGGCGTAAGTTTATTCATTTCAGTATTTACAAGGAAAGCGAGGAATAGAGAAACCACCATTTGATCTCCCGTTATTTATTAAAAAGACTGGCATTATGGAAATGAGAGCCGCATTAGCTGAGAAGGAAGATCAAAAGTCTCTCAAAGCTAAAATGAGAGAAAGAGTGCGTCCTAAAATGGGAAAAATTGACATTGATTATCAGAAATTGCATGACGCGTTCTTCAAGTAAAGATTAAATTCAATGGATTTCAAATCTGCATTCTACTATGTTTAACTAAAAACTAAAATTATGTTTTAATTTTTTAGATGGCAAACAAAGCCAAAAATGACTATTCATGGTGATTTGTATTATGAGGGAAAAGAGTTTGAAACAAGAATGAAGGACAAAAAGCCAGGAGACCTTTCGGATGACTTGAGGACTTCGCTTGGAATGCCGATTGGTCCTAATGCAAATAGGGTCCCTCCCCCATGGTTAATAGCTATGCAGAGGTATGTAAACTTGATACAAAATATTTCAAAATATATTGCAATAGACGACTTTTCGGATAATAATATTATAACGTGAAATATGTTTGTTACTATTTAATACCAATGATATAAAATTTATTGTGGACGTTATTAGACACTTTAACTTATTACTATTTTCAAATAGATACGGCCCTCCACCTTCTTATCCTCATTTGAAAATTCCTGGACTAAATGCACCAATCCCTGACAGTTGTAGTTTTGGATATCATGCAGGTGGGTGGGGAAAACCTCCAGTTGATGAATTTGGTCGTCCACTGTATGGAGACGTTTTTGGAATTATGACTGGAGACGCTTCGGTATGTTGTTCATACATGACTCTTGCTAGGTTAAGCATTAGATTAGATTAAGTTCAATTTATAAATTTCTAATCAGGGTGCTGCTGAAGAGGAGTACGTTGATAAAACCCTTTGGGGCGAATTAGAATCGGAAGAAGAAGAAGAGTCAAGTGAAGAGGAAGAAGAAGACGAAAAGGACGAAGATGATGAGAAAGAAGCACCTGACGAAAGTGGATTGCAGACACCAGCTGAAGGGCTTCAGACGCCTTCAGGATTCTCTAGTGTCCCTGCAGGCCTCGAGACACCAGAGTCTATTGAACTGAGAAAACGCAGAATAGAACAGGACATGGAAGGGTACCTATACAATATATTATGTTTTATAACTAGTAGCTAAACAAACAACTAAAGCTGACGACACACTTATTTTATAGTGGAGATACTCCAGCAGCCTTATATACAGTACTTCCAGAAAAGCGAGTGGATAGGATTGCGGGAGCTATGATGCCTTCAACCCACGTTTACGATGTTATAGGCGCGGCAAAGGAAAAAGCTAAGCCATTCGGCGTTAAAGATTCCAGCGCAGTGGAATTGGCATTGGACCCATCTGAGTTGGATTTGGTAGATACTGCGGCAATGGAAGCACGTTATGAGCAAACCCTTAAAGAGAAGCAATCGTATGGCCATGGCGAAGACTTATCCGATATGGTGGCCGAGCATACTGCAAAACAGAAGGTAAATACAATACAGATATTCCAAGGTTTTATTTCACTAGCTTGTGATTTTTATTTTTATTAATAAATCTTTCATTTTTTAGAATAAGCGAAAACGTCAAATGCAGCAACAAGATGTTAAGAAAGGAGCAAAGAAGCAAAAAGAATTTAAATTTTGAAACCAAAATAAAGTTACAAAATTCGGCGGGGTATTTAAATATCGTTTCGAATTTGCATGTACATATACCGTTCATGAGTTAAGTTGTTAATGTACATATATTGTCTTAAAATTAAACGTGTTGATTTCATAACTTTTTATAACGTATCACAACTTCATAAAAACTATGTTTGTCATTTTATTATCATCATTTGTAATTCATTATGAGTATAATAAATGTTGACTTCAATACGGAATAAATTTGCTGATAATTATTTAGCCTTTATTGTTGTTAATTAAATATAATACATTAAATCGTAGCAAAGAAAGATTGAAAAACAAGTATCTAAACAAGTATCGTACTATTTATTAATTACTGTGTACAGTCGCGAAAAATTATCAATAACAACTATTTATAAACAAGCCACACGACGAATTACTATTGTGAAAATAATTAGACCTTGGGATTCTTGGCCATGGTGAAAAATTGAAGATGCATTAGATCAGATCGGCAACTGCAATTAAATAATTTGAGCACATTTATTTAGCAACAATTATTACGAGAGGAACTAAAAAATTGCTGAAATTTTGCATACCGTTCATGGGCATTTCATCAATCTGTGTGGAATAGTACTGCTCAATATCTCGGAGAATACGAATATCATCCTCTTTGACGAAGTTGATGGCAACACCTTTACGACCAAAACGACCGGATCGACCAATTCTGAAAAAATATAACAATTGCAGATTCAGGTTCAGACTTTATTTATCACAAAAATATACATCTATTGTCACATTTAATATTTTTCCACGTGAATTTACCTGTGAATATATAATTCTCGATTGTTGGGCAGGTCATAATTTATGACCAATGAAACTTGTTGTACGTCAATTCCTCTCGCCCACACATCAGTTGTAATTAGTACTCGACTGAAAATATGGAACACAAGTAAATTAGTTTTAAAAGTTTCTTAAATGTTGAATATAACAAGTTCTGAATATGATTAGATTTAAACTTACGTTGCCTGATTTCTGAATTCCTTCATAATAGCATCACGCTCCTTTTGAGGCATTTCTCCGTGCATTGAAGAAACAGTGAAATTGCTTTCACGCATTTTCTCTGCCAACCAATCTACCTATTATGCCAAGCAATAACATTTTTTTGTCATATATATTGTTCTGCTAATCTAGGAAACAATGAAAGAATGGAAAAATTACCTTGCGTTTGGTGTTACAGAAGATAACCGCTTGTGTGATGGTGAGTGTATCGTACAAGTCACACAAGGTGTCGAACTTCCATTCCTCGCGTTCCACAGCTATAAATATAAATACCAGTCAGTAAATTGATTAAATGAGTTATGAATGGAGAGAGTGATTCAGAGACGTGCGAAAAGTAACAACATAACATATTTCTGCATCTTGCACTCACCCACAAAGAACTGTTTAATTCCTTCCAATGTCAACTCGTCGCGTTTGACAAGGATTCGGATCGGATCAGACATGAATTTGCTCGTCATTTCTAAGATTTCATGCGGCAAAGTAGCAGAGACCAGTACAACCTAGTGGGGTTGAGATTTTAGTCATCTCTAAATTACAGATTGTGTATATTTTTATTTGTTTATTCCAATTCGTACCTGAGTTGAAGGTGGAAGATATCTGTACACATCGTAGATTTGTTCTTTGAACCCTTTATTTAGCATTTCGTCGGCTTCGTCCAACACAAGCATTTTAATAGCCCTTGTTCTCAGACATTTTCGTCTAATCATATCTATTGCAATAATTAATTATTGCTTCAGTTATACATATCATTCCACTATTTAACATGCTAAACGTGTTGTATTGATGACAGTTTAAACTATATCATACCAAAAACTCTTCCCGGAGTTCCCGATACTACATGTTGTCCATAATCCAATTTTCGGATATCTTCTCCAAGATTTGTGCCCCCAATGCACGCATGGCACTGTATGTTCATGTAATCGCCCAATGCCAGAATAACCTGAATAAATATCAGCCATAATATAAACAAGGATGCAATTGTTATATTTTGTTATCAAGAACACAGTAAAGCTACGTCACCTAACCTTTTGAATTTGAACAGCCAATTCACGTGTTGGAGATAAGACCAAACACTGAGTTTCCCTCTGTGTGGTGTCAATAGATTGCAAAATTCCTATAGAGAAAGTTGCAGTTTTGCCGGTTCCAGACTGAGCCTGAGCGATCACGTCTCGACCTTTAACAATCGGCTTTATTGCACGCTGTTGGATGGCTGAAGGTTTGTCGAATCCTGTAAATGCAGTAAATAGTTACATGAGCACAATAGTAGGTAGTTAATAAATTAATTTGTCCGCCTTACCATATGCAAAAATGCCTCTAAGCAAATCTTCCTTGAGTCCCATTGAATCAAATGTTTTGATGACTTCAACATTATCACTCGTTTCAAATTCAACATTGGCTAAATCCTCGTCCTCATCCAGCACTCGGCGTTTTGACGTAGAAGCAGACGCAGCAGCCATGATGGTATATTTTCGTACAATAACCTTCAATTCGGCGACAATACCACCAACTTACAACTCGACTTCAAAAATTTTGAATCAAAATACTTCCAAAACTGGTTTTTTCACTCTTGGCTGAAAAAGAAGAAATATGCGTGGATTAAAGATATAAATTCCAATTTACAAAGTACCATCGGCTTCTTACCTCGGAGGAGAATTCAAAATGTATAATTTCCGGAAACTATTATTAGTGGAAAATTAAATTTTTAGTGGAAATTAAACAAATTTGGAATTACGAATTTGTGTGCGGTGTGGAGTTGTGAGGATGAGGTTAAAAGAGTGCGCTGCGAGGAACGCTCCAGCCAAACCAACTGCCGGCGGGGCAAACTGCTCACCTCACTCGTCTCACAATCTCAAATTTTTCAGCCAGCGAATGATTGACAAACGCACCACGACCACGAGCCACGAGGACGCTGAAGCAGAATTAAATGTATCCCTAATTTTACTAAATATTAAATTAGTAATTAATTATTAATCCCCAAATTATGAATTAAGGATAATTGGACTTTAGTTTCCTCGTTTGCTAAATGGGTATATTCATTTCATTTGGTAAGGTTTATGTAACTGGCTAAGTAAGTGGCTAAATAAATAACAATAAACGGCAACCAACCGGCGGAAGCAGAAATTCTGCTGCAGAATGGTAAATTACTGCATTATTCCTTTTATTAATTCATGTTTATTGCTGAGCATTTTTGAGTTCGTAACTTAATTTTGACCAATTGATCTAGTCTTGCGAATTTTAAGGAAATTTTTTTCGTGATTTTTTTCGAATCAGTAAGGCTCAATCAAATTATTGTTTACCATTTGGTCTGCTTGCTCAGGTTGAAATCCCTATGAAGCATTATTCATTGGTGTCCTCCCTGAGTGTAATTTTGCTAATAAAATAGGCCAGATTTGTGAATTCAATTTAATTGTCAATCTACTCTTAATTTTAGCTCTGCTGTGCTGCAGAAGGAATGGAGGCTTGGAAAGCGTGCTGCGGAAATCGGAACAAGTTTTATACCCACACTTTTGAGCTTACATCCATGGTAATCTGGTCCTGGTAAGCTTACCTTTACCCTCCCTTACGTAAGTTTGTGATGGTTTGTTATGTTAGTGAACTAACCAGATGTTCCTTTTTGTCCAAGGAACAAGTCAAGCAAATCGTCTTCGCATCTGCCGTCGTCGTGGCCGTGGCACGACCCAAACAAACGCGAGCCCTCATGGATCGTTGCATTCATTCTCCACCGAATCCGGTACCACTAAGGAGGCATGGTCGAAAAATTCCATCCCCTCTAACATAAGCTCTGGATATAGTGAGTGAGCGATGATGTTTTGGTTTGTGTCCATTCTGTGTCTAATGAAATGAAGCTTAGTTTTAGGATACAACTGGAATGGAAGCTCCAAGCAATGACCCTAAGCATCCTTCTATGAATTCAGCTTACGCATTTGTACATATGCATTTGTGGAAAGGGTCGTCTCTTCTTCCGTTCCATCCATTCACCGAAAATATTGACGTGTTGAGTGGTGTAGCAGTTTGCTTTCGAGTCCCTCACGTCGTAATACCATACAACAGTTAAACCAGGGACAGAAACCTGAATCTGATTCCGATATCATCATCATCATGGAAGGCAGAATTACTATGCAAGTTCGTTGGCTTGACTTAAAAAGCTTTCGCTTCTGCACCCTTCACTTGCTATTGACGGACTCGGAATAATATCAAACAATACCGAAAACCTGCCAAATCTCAGTCAGTCAGATATAATCATGATGCTTTGAAAGATATATTATATAGAGTAGAAGAATCCATCAAGATTTAGGTGTTATTTTTAAAAGCGTTGTGTGCATATCTGTCATTTTTAAAATCCTGTTCGTCGTCCATCGTTGTGGGATACAAGGGGATGCCGAGGATAATTCACTAAATGTTTTTTGTTGTTCTTGAAGATAAAGTACGCTAATGAGAATGTGGTGGTGGTGGTTCGCTGTGCTTTATCACCGCTTTCTACATATACTAATAGTTGTATATGACCATATATAACAAGTGATGCACGGCACACTCTCGGTCGGTGGCGTGGCTTGCTCCACGGTTTAGTCATTATGATGATGATGATGTCGCTGCATATGTAGGAAGGAGGGCACGGGTTTGCTCGGCAGTCAGCCACACGGCCACTATCTATCCGTACCTTACTCGTCTATTTATGTATATATTATGTTTTTATCACCAACCTCACTTATATTAATCTTTTGATAGCATTTTACGCCGGTGTGGTGTTGTGAATCCTCGTCCTTTTTGAGAAGAACGGATGGAATGAATATCGTCGTCTTCATCGTCATCTTAAAGACCTTTTACAATTGGATGAGAGAGGAGAGAACTAAACGAACGAACTCGCTTGACATGCCTCCTCCTTTTACCATCTCCATTATTATGGGAAGAAATAACGCATCTTACATGTAATGGTATAATGCAATGTATGTAATAATGTGCCTTGAGCATGCATAACTACCAGTTTTATTATTGCTTCTTATTCTTCTTCTTCTTGTATTTCAGAAGAGAGGAGAGACGCCTGTGCATGGGTATGCATGGTAAAACAAAAAGACCTTCGGCTTCTTGAACAACTGAGGAATCGTGCCTAAGAAGTAAGAACTGTTGCCCGTGGCCTGCTGCTGCTTCTGTTGGAAAATAGCTATTACACAGCTGCTCTGTTTTGTTCATCCACCAACAACTTTACCACCACCACACAACCACATTATTCATTCCTAAATGCTCGAGGAAGATTTGAGATCAACTCCTGCTCTTGCTTTGCTCCTTCAATAAGCTAAAGAAGAAGAAGAAGAATGAAAGATAATAAAAAAAATCCCACTCTTATGCCCTGATCTGGCCTTTCGCAGAGTGACTGAGGTACGGAGATGAAATTGGAAGTAAACTGATCTGCACTGAAAACTGCGTTAGCTAAGCTCTTCCGAGTAATAGTAGAAGTAGTAGGGAACATCAAACTCTTTGAATTGAATGGTGATTTCATTGGTATCTTCTGCCACTAATAACAACCGTGGTGGAAAATAATATGTTGCTCGCTGTTGCGATATTATTATGCGATACTATGTACGTATGTACAGCATATACTGCATGCATACAACATATATACTGGACTGGTGTTACTCGGTATATAAAGTTGTTTATTCATTTCCCGAGGAGTTACCGTGCACGGTGCTCACACTACTGTTTCTAATACTACTGGTTTAAAACAGTCTCTTGTAGACTTTTAGGAGCAGTTGTGTGTAGGGCTACCCTACCAGCATTATTATTGCCAAGAATTTTACAATATGGAAACTAATATTTAAGTGGCCATTGTTTTGTAACTTTTTAATACGAGTGAAAGTAGTGATTATTTGCGTTACGACTTGAGTTTTAAGAACCAGAAAGTATGCTTGTACCATTTGAACGAATGTTTGTGAATGCGATTTGTTTGACATAATTTATTTGAATGTGAATAATACTCTCATCATTGGGACAAACACGAATATACAGTGAATGGTTATAGTTCGCTGGCTCGCGCAGTTTCAAGTATGTATATAGCGTAGTATTCGTCGTCGACTCTGACTGTCATGGACGAGGTCATTATAAATGTGGAGGAAAAATTGTTAAAATTATTATCTCATCGGCTTGTGTGAAAGTGATAAAATGAGCATCGGGCTTGTTATTGTTCCCCTCCACTTGTATGTATCTCTACGTATATACTGAATCGGATCGTCACTTTTCAATCAATCTCAGACCAGCAATGCAAACGACGCTAGCAAATTTTTACCTAATTTAGAAAATTTCTTCTGTTCGATAATGGTGATTGAAAGGATGTTGTGAGGCAAGGACCATTAAATTTTTAACAATTTCGAGAGTTTTGACTAATAAGCTGAATAACTAACTACTATGCATAATAAAATAAGTCACCGACTAACAAATGCATTTTTTGTTTAATTTCAGGTGATCTATCAATCATCTAAAGCAACAAGAATTTGTTGTCAAATATTCTTCACACTGGAGCAGAAAACTAGAAGTCTACTCTGCAATCTGTACACAACAGGCCGACTATTTCTTTTATCCTTCTCAATGTTAGTGGTGTGACTGACTAAATAACTTCAAACACGGTTTATCGCTGTTTATGCAAAACAAAACGACGAAATCGAAATGTCTACAGGCATCGTTCATCAACCCGACACTCCAGTTTCTTCTGGCAGCCCTGCCAGCGTCGGAATTGAAACCGAAACTTCTAAATTGGATTGTTTTGGCAAGAACGATGAATTGGTTGAGGATAGCTGTTCGACCCCACCTATGAATGAGAATGAAGATTGTCACAGCGGTAGTTCCTCGTCTTCACCTGCAATGATGACTCCAACTCTTAGTTTTACCCCTCCAACCAATGGAATACTGACACCTCCGAATGATGCAGACATTTCAATTGATTCAGGGAAATCCGACAAAGGCTCTGGAAGACTCAAATTTTATAAGGGTCAGTAACAATAATTAATTATTTCAGATATTTTTAGGCCTAGATATTTATGAATTTAATTCTGCAATTTAGATGGAGTATTGTGCTTGGAACTATCTCACCACGACGAAGGTGAAAAGCGAAAATGGGTACAGATTCGAAGCAAGACAATTTTTCCAACTGTAGTCCATACAAAGAAAGAAGTCACCATTCCACGACATGTTTCCCCAAGTCCATCATTCCATAGTCCCTTATCTGTGACAAACAGTTTACAGCAAAGATTAGAAAGTTCGGCTTCGCATAGCAGTAAGAAAGAATTATAAACCAAGCACAATTTTACATGAGTGAAATGCACACGGTGTAATGTTAATTATGTTGTCTAATTTTATGTTTTTTTTAGCAGCTTCAGATGATGGATCCTCAATGTTATCATCACCTCGAATCAGGGAGAGTAGTTGGAGAAAACCGGTGCCTCACAAAGGAGTTTCCTTATGCCTTGAATTTTTATTGAAATCCGCCCCATGTGTCAAACAATTCCGAAAACATTATTATTCCAAGATATTCCAATCACCACAAAACTATCGAAAGCCTTGCAATTATAATAACTATGATAAGAAGAGTATTAACTACCTACAAAAGACGCCCGGCCTCAAATGCTCGTGTGATATTTTTCATAGTCTTAATGACAAGTGTGAGGCAGTTGTTGAAGACACTCTTGTTGAGAATAGTAGTACTTTAGTTGGAAAAGGTGGTGGTGGTGACCAAGAAAACATTGAGAAGAAGAGAAGAACAAAGTCGCCAAGTTTGGAATTTTTAGTGAAAAGGCTTCATCATGAAAATGAAAAACAATTCAAATTATTAGCCAGCATAAAAAATGTTCACCGAGCTATGGATCATCATCAGCAAAATGACAGGAGGGCAACCAGTGACCACCACCATTATTCTTCATTGCCAAAAAAACGTTCCTTCAAGGAAACTGATATGAAGGACTCGTCACCTCTCCGTCCTGCCAAACTTTCTCCAAAATCTAAGAGTGTGAAAACTATTTTAAACATTCCTGGTTTTAATAATGAGTTCTCCAAATGTTCCACTACCATCTCTCCTGAAAATGAAATTGATCGAGGCTCTTCTAGCTCTTATTTTGCTGAGCCATCCTCTTCATCATCATTGGTTTCTAATAACTTTGATGGGAGACAAATAAAACCTGATGCTTCTACCAGGAAAAAATCAGGCACTAATCGAGTACCACACAATCACTACGAATCAGTAGCCGGGGTAGTAAATTATACCTCGGTCGCTAAACCACCTCGGAAAAGTCCAACGACTTCTCCATCTACTAAACACCTCTCGCTAAACAGCTCGAGCTCTATTCAAAGTGCAATGTATTTATCCTCTTTGCCTCCTGAGCAGCAACAAATTTTTCAACAACAAACAATGTCCAAAGCCATTTCGTACACAATCAACTCCTTGTTAAGTCCGCACAATAATCAGGAGTCGTCATTGTCATCGTTGAGAAATTTATCCGGAAAACTGACAGGTACTCCACAAGGAAAGGATAAAACAAAAGCTGGAAAACGGGAACTTAACAAGAGCAGCAATGTACTTTCAATGCAACATGCTTCAAATTATTTTGGTATAAAAGGGGACCATGACCAAAACTCATTTCTTCGTCATCTTTTGGACACTTCAGATCCCATTCCAAATCCTACCCTTCAAGAATCCTGCAAATCAGAAGTAGTTCCAGCACCCAATCCTAATAATTCCAACAGCGGCAGCAGCACCAACAACAACAACAATAACATCAACAAGGGCAAACAACAATCTCAATCAGCGTCTGATGTCAGAAAAACGTCCAGTAAATCTAAAGAAAAATTGCAACAACAACCCTCTGCCACCATTGTGGCTGGGGGTGGGGGAGGGAATGTCCATCCAACTTCATCACAACAGCAGTTTCAACATCAACTTGCAGGATTCTTTCCTCCTGCTGCTGCGTTTATGCAACCGTCGTTGTTTGGGGCTGGATTTCCTTTACATTTGCAAGGATACGAGTCCCTTTTCGGCGGACATCATCCATCCGTTGGTGCTCTTGCCGCAGCAGCCGCTGCTGCTGAGCTTCAGTATCAATCGCTTCTCCCTCCAAGTATTCTTCAACAGATGAACCCCTCAATGGCTGCTGTAATGGCTGCGTCCTATCTTGGTGCATCTCCAAGTGGTGGTGGTTTACCTCCAACCTCGTCATCGTCGTCGTCAGGCTCGATGGCACCCTCTTCAAGATCTCCACCGAATTCTCGACGTTCCGAAAATTACAACAACAATAGTAATCGTAATAATAATAATGGTAGCAAAAGTATACCTTTAAACTTGAGCCAAAGGGGAATATCGCCTGGAGGAACTACTCCAAGCGGCGCTTCCTCGATACCAGTTCCATTCCATGCTCCCAGCCGTGATAATCCACATTCTCGCATTGGATCTGCTTCAAGAAATTCTTCCTCCAGAGGAAGATTAACTAAGGCCCTTGATGTTATAGATGATGGTAAGTGATGATAGTGAGGACGTGGTGATCACTTTTCTAAATATTGCATATCTAGAAAACATGTATCATATTTTTTTGTGTGTGTTTGCAGAAGTGCCCCTCAATTTGAGCAAGAGAACGTAAACTATCGGTAGAAAAGCCGTTCTGGTGGTGTGGATTGGTCCGAGATACCACCACCAGAAGATCTCCAAGATGCGTGCCACACTGTATAAAAAACTGAAGCTTATTTAACTACTACAATTGACGTCAAACCAACAACTATTGGTTATTATTAATTGAAACAGCAACTTACATCTTACTATTTGTGAACTGATTGTGAGCTTTAATTATTCTACCTTATAGTAGATATTCGCAAACATTTACATGTAGATAATATATAGATTATATATACAATCCTCCAACCAAGACTTGTATTTGCGCTTCCCCAAAATGGGATGGGAGTTTAAAAGTAAAAGTTTTATTATTAGTTTTTATTTATAACGTGGACCGGTACACAGTACGTAAATGTTGGAATTTTTCAATTTATTGTCATTATTTAAACGTTTTTGTGTTCTTTTTCTTAATGCAAATCCTGATAACTCGAGGGAACTGATTAATAATTTTTAGTTTCTCTACATAGTCATTTTAAATACGAAAATTTATCATTAATATTGATATATTAATCGTCTGTGCCAATTAAAAAATGGGAACAACCAATGCAATTTATAGTTCCACAGAAGAATGAATACTGTCACATGCTTATGACAAACTAACAACATTATATAACAAAGTTCAAAATGAAAAGTTTGATTGAACAAGTCATCAAAACTAATCAAAAGTGCAATGTTATCTCACCCTCTGAACTTTTTGGTACTGCAAAAATAGTGTTTATTAAAAAATAATCTTAAATCTACAATATAATTTTCATAATTGTAGGCCTATCAAATCAAACTGTTTTAAAACTCTTATTAAACAAGAAACGATGGACTGCAACCGTGCTATTTCAAATGAATTTGCCTTCACATTGAACAAAACTACTTTCAAACGCCTCGAAAAAATTTCAATTTCTACTAATGCTATGATGTGTGACATATTGTGTGTATATGGGTGGACGTTATGAATGATTTGATCATAAATTTAATCAGAATCTCACTTTGCCTGTGGATGTTTATATGTGAGCACTGTCCATCCAACAACCACCCTTAATTCGTCCTGTTCTTTCTGCCCATTGCAAAACATTTAATGAAATGTACATCGTTTCCGACCTTTATACAAGCTATTTTTCCACACCTCTTCTAATGTTTAGTGTAGCTTTACGTGTTCTTGAATTTTAAGACCTGACATGAAACCATTGTTATAATCACCCACGTGTCTGGAAATTCTACCGTTTTCTGAAACGTGTCCGTGTGAATAGACTTTATGTATCTCATAATGTAACTGCAATTTTGTTATTCATGAACTATTTTATCATATGCAATCAAAGCAAACTAAAAATAAAAAAGATTATATACAAAAAATATTTAAACAGTAAACTATTCTCGTCACAACCTGTATTCCATAATCCATACATGCATACCATGCTACTACAGATACTATGCGATGGATCGACAACAACGCCTGCAATTGTGAAAAAGGGGGACAGAAAAAGAAGCCAAATCTATCGTTGGTGGTGGTGAGAACTTCTCTCTCTATTGCATAACAGGCGTTAATATGGAACCGTCCACTAATTAGTCCTCTTCGGTTGCTGGGCCGTAGCCCCTCTGCTTACGATTAGTATTTGTTTCTCGGAATGACGGGGGAGAAAAGCAAAGAAAGCGTCCGGCAAATCCATACGCCAAGCAAAACCCGGTGAAGGATGTCGCTGAAAGTACTAATTAAAAGAGGTTGACTACAATCTCTCCTGTGAAACATTCCTTCGTGCATTTTTACTAATTCATATTTATATTTACTGCATATTTAGCATTTCTGACTAAAAAATGAAATGAAGTCATCTAATCTAATAATGTGTAGCATATACCACAGATAGCTCTTAAGATTATTGATACCCGACTTTAATTTACTTGCCCGTCGTATTTCTTTCATCATGACTCCAAGTTAAAAGTTGCAATTAACGGATTTAACCCTTTTTGACTTGCATAAGATGGTGGTGCTACGGCTTTATTAGATGGGCTGGGGCGACGATGAGAGCATAGAACAAAAGACAGAGATGAGGGGAAGGGGAAATTGCTCAAGAGAGGGCAGAAAGTGCCATGGAATAACACATCCTTACAGATCGCTCGTATATGAGAAAGTGCTATGCAGAAAGTGAAGCTTTGTAGTTGAATTTTTTGCTCCACACAAAATTTCCTCCGGATCAGAGAAGTTCCTACTCTCTGCTTGTCACCAACTAATAATTAGCATCAGCCCGTCTTATCCACAATTCTCCTCATTATCAACCATCACATCACATACTTCAGGTACGTCAATTATCCTCCCAAATCAAAATCAACTGCAATTTGTGCACTTGGTGGAGGACGCAGAAATTGCAACTGTTTGTTGTTTATTTATTTTTGTCACCCACTATCACCTTATATAAGCAGGTCTGGTGATAAATAGTCTATTCTATTTGTGGCATTAACGACTACCCAGAATCGCAATGCAACAATTGTTTAATTATTATTTTGCAAGCTGGGATTCAAACTTTTCGATATTTATAACAGGTTACGGTTAGTTGTCTAAAGTGTATCGGCTTTGATTATCCCCGGGTTTTTTGTTGAAATAAAAATAAGTAAAGTGAAACCGGCGAGTAAATGAATTTTTTAAGGGTTATATTTCGGTAAGAAAGTGTAAAATCTGTTATCTGAAGGGTTGTCGACTGTGAGATTTGATTTGACATCTAATCTGATGTGAACTTGACAGTAAATGATGCTGCACAGTTGACACTCTTGACAGTGCCGAGTGGGAACTAATCTATTTACGCATTTTAGAAAATTATAATAGTTAATAACTAAGAAAAATATTTAGAGTAGCCAAATGACCTTTATCCATTAACAGGAAAAAATCTTAACATTTAAAAACAATAAGGTTTTTAGCTATTTAATTAATTTCCGTCTCTTAAACTATCAACATGGTGCATTCGTTGATTATGATATGGAAGTTTAATTTTCTTGTCAAATGTATACAACTAACTTTGGTGAACACTTAATGGCATTTTATAATTGGGTTTGATATATTTTCAGGGTCGCAGAAGGCAAATAGACGCGAAACTACATATTTCGATTGAAAACACTGAATGAAATGCTGTGCAACATGAACCCATGATGACGATATAATTTTTCATGTGACCCTGTGCTTCTTATCTAATTCAAGAATATCAAGATAAAGACATATTGGATGGGAATGTTCAGTTAAAAGTGGAGTTTGAATTCTTTTGATGTGTAGAATTTTAAGATTTAAATGCAATTCGTTGTGAGTTTAAAGTGGTCAGTGTGAAAGTGCAAAAGAAAGATCAAAAGCTGAAAGAATACGAGTAGTTTAAACTGCAGTAAGTTGCAGTTTCGACTGACTTGTTTGTTAGTTTTTTGCGCAAGGACGTAAATAAACTGCATCAAGCTGGATCGATATAATTTGGACACCATCATCTTGCCCACAACTGGGACAATGGACTATAAAAAAGTCCACAACAGCTTCAAAAAGGAATTCAGGATTGTTGGAGAGGAAGAATCTCCACAATCCTTGATGACCAGCAACAATATGTACAGAATCGGAGGTATATTTTAATTACATCCCCATTACCATATACACACGGCTCAACTGATTTATGTTTTTCATAACGATATGTAATAATGTTTCAGATTACGTATTTTTTGAGGCAGCTCCCACTCTACCATATCAAATTCGGAGAATAGAAGAGCTTAATAAGGTAGTAATTTAAACGAGAGTACTAACTAACCACTAGTAATCAATCCGGTGTGAATTAATTGTAAAGTTAGTTGTATTCAATTGTATTTCTATTTTAATTGTTGGTAAGAAAGGCTGACAATTCATCCATGAATCCTAATATTTGTCAAACGAAGGGCTCTAATCATTATTGGTTTCATATTTAGCAAAAAAAAGTCTGGATCAACCAGCATAATAAATTAATTAAATGAACTTATAAGGTATAAAATCTCATCAGACGAGAGCACCGTATTTCTGGTATTCCTGCAGATTTACAGGCATCATATCGATTTCTGTTGCGAGAGAAAGCTCTGCCGCAAATAATGGGACAGAGGGAAAGTGGATTTGTTGAGCAATGCAATAGTCCCCACCAAACTAATGACACTCATTGCTGCATACACACACGACGACCGGAGAATGAACATACTCCATTCTGTACTTTCGGGGTTGAGAAGAAGAGCTAACGAGAAAGAAGGGCGAGATCGCCAGATCAGAAGAGAGCGAGAGAGCGTCCTCCTCAGAAATTGTCTTTTTCTTGGTTAATATACACACGGAGAATGAAAATGAAGAAAAGTGAAAGCTAAAATCGACCGACCGACCAAATTGGGTGGAGTTCGGTGCTGTCTTGTTCTTATTTATTTTTATACTTCTCTCCGAATCCAATTTCCATGTCTCGCTGTCTCTGTACCCGCGACAATCTAAGAAAACTTTCTTATTCGTATCATGATATTGTACTTCTTGGTAGTATCATCTACATGTTTTGGACACGAAAAACGCGAATGTAACAACGAAAAATATGAATAAGAACATATAGAAAAAGTATTATGTAAATGTACTGGGTTGAGTTTTGAGTATGGTGGGGTGCTTATTATTAATACATACTGTAAAATATAAAACCATTAAATGAATGATTGCAGATATCTAAAATTGAATGTAAAATGCATTTGTAGAGATATCCTACATCTAATAAATTACTATGCAATAGTGTCGTCAAACAAATATGAAGAAAGCAATTGACTATTTGATGTATTAACCTTAACTTTCAGACCCCAAATGGTAACGTGGAAGCCAAAACAATGTGTTTCTTCAGAAGGAAAGATCTACCACAATCCTTGACGATGCTGGCCGATCGTCATTACAGTAAGATTTTTACACAACTTTAATGTTAACTATGATGAATGGCTCGTTAGTCAAACACAAGTAAATCATTTGCAAATTTGACCCTTAAGGTGTTCTAAATTAAATCTCTTAAGAAGCAGGGTAATATGAGATGGGCATTTTTATAATAGGGGGCCCGTACAACGTGACTATTGTAAGACATTCGTGTATTTCCTTCAGGGTATGAATGCTATTGATGAGGGTCATATTGGTTGAGGTCATCTTTGCGTATGGATTAAATTTTTTGGATGGCTACCCAGACCCAGACCGAGTTCAAAAATAGAAAGAAATTAAAGATTAAACCAGGATTGAAATTAATTTCTTACTCAACATTGGTTATGATAATATTGGTGACCCACACTTGTTTTACAAATTACTCTTAAAAAATCAAATTTTGCATGAAATTGATGCACTCGCACACTTTCAGTATGGGGTTTGTTGGAGATAAACAAATGCAAGTTTATGCAAGGATAGAATTTGAGTGCGGACGAGGATGTATAAAACAATATATAAGCGTGCATATTATGTCAGTCAACTCTCTTTCCATCATCATGATTATTGAGGGGTGAAAGCCCTTTATAAGATCGTTATTGATGTCCGTCTGTCTGTCCGTTGGTCCAATAACTTTTGAACGAAAAGGCATAGAAACTTTAAATTTTTAACATAAACTCCTAACCTCAAGGTGCAGGACGAGTTCGAAGATGGGCACTGTAGGTCAGTCACACCCTTCAAGGTCAAAAACGGTCACCAAATGTTAAATTTGATACATATTTAAATTTAACAGGAAATTTAAGCCCGAATTCAATGGTGATCTCCACTTTGACCGCAAAGGTCACCAAATTTTAAATTATATATAGATGTCAGTGACATCATGTCACAATTGTCAAAAACACTTCATAAGTGTCAATTTTAACAAATTTTTAACGCTGAACGTGAGTATGATACCCATTTTGACCTGCAACACCTCAGTAACCGTTTGAACGAGGCCAAAGGTCACAAATTTCGAAAAGACGTCCGCCTGACGTGTTTTCGAAGTTTACATACAACAGTAACCGGTTTTCGACAGGAAAAAATAATATAATATTCATTTTGACCTATGACACACTGCTTTCACCCCTTGGTTACATGCGTTGTAACGGTTTATTATAAAGAGAAGCTGGAGTAGCAGGAATGGAACAATTGTTGAATGGCAAGACGAGACCCCCAAAGCTCTGAGTCTTCTTTTTGCTGTGCTATGCGTGGCATGAGTTACAGATAAAAAACGCTCGCTCACACACCATTTATATTACACCTATTTCTGTAACCACCACCTCTCTTACGAAATACGACTGAATTCTACCTGCCCGTGGTTTTGAAGTAGTAACAATAATGCATGCACCAATTCATAAGTCGTGTTTTAACATCTCTTGGGTTTGCGAGGATACTAGCAGCTAGAATGTCACGTAAAGCTTAGTTCATGGCTTTGTTGGGCAACCCTTTTTTGCTCCATTCTTTATTTCTAACATTTAAATATGACTTGCCCCTATTATACGTGTGGTACGATATGAAACACGTAACATTTATAATAACAATCACTTTCAGATGCGAAGAAGTAACTGTAATCGATGATTTCATTCGTCGTATTATATTCGCAGTGTAGATTTCATTTCTTTGTTCGTTTCGACTTTTGATAAAAGTTTGAATTTTGAGATTTTATTACAAAGCTCAGGACATATTTACACTGTTTTTTAGGTAGTGACCACTTGATTATATAGGAGAATCCTAGTTCCTAGTAGGAACTGAATTGATGCATTTATTAGATTAATGTGTTAAGAAAGATAGCAGTGTTAAATATGACAAAATTCTTTATTCGCGTCGGATAGATGTTAAATTTTGCTAAATATGCTTTCAAACTGAATATCCCATCGATACAATGGAGAGCATTCTGTGCTTCTCCCGTTGTCGCCTCGTTATCTGTATATCGCACAGGAAACGCTACGAGGTCCGCAATTACATTCATAGTTTTGCTTTGTGTGCGTGGCAGACTCATCTCATCCTCAGTGAGATGAAGTCTTTGGCCGTTGTGCGACTAACTTCCTTCCACCACGAAATCTAGATCCTCTCGCCTGGATTGATGACGGGGGAGAGCAGAAGGTGGTTTTGGGTGCTAATTCCGTAAAATGGGGAAGGGCATTCATTTCATTCCTCTTTGACTATTCTGTACACGCAGCTTATTCTTTTCCCGATACCCCGATTTTTTCCATGAATTATGTTTGACCAATCTATCCCTATTGAAATACATGCATATGAAATTATCCGAAATTAATGTTTGAGTAAAAGAATATCCCAGATATTCTATATCTCAAGAAGCTTCTATATACGTGTTGCTCCGTGTATGCACATATATGTACCTCATGAAAATAGTATACCCACGGATATGTCTAAGATGAATTTGACGTGTCACATTCTGCTCGTCCAACAAATTAACTTAAATAATTGAGTATCATTTTGTATTACCGATGTATGTATGCCACCAGAAACCGAATCATGTCCTTGTAATTCGTAAATGTTCGCTCGAAAAACTTTTTGATTCTTGGGACACTTGACGGTGTCAAAAAGCTGTGAAATGGTGGAGTTTTTATTCTGATTGGATACTCTGCACCCATGGGCCAGTAATATGAGACCATAAGTAGAGGCTTGTTTGCTTATGAGAGTGAACGTGGAGTGAAAGCATGGGGATGAAGTGAAAGTTGGAGAGAGCAGAAGCAGAGGCGACAACGAAAGGGACGCTAAACAACATGTGCATTTGTGTGATACTTGATTGTGAATTACTGAGAGAGCAAGAGAGCGAGCCATTGCAAAAGGATATTGATCGTGTCCTGGAAAGTCAAAAGTGGAAAGACTCAAAAATTGAGACGACGACCGCAGTATTACGAGTACTGATGAGTAGTGTATTATGTATGAACATCCGTCCCATTTCAACGTTACCCACCTTCTCTAATCAAATGCTGAGTCTACGATCTGCATAAATATATATGATTCATACATGATCCTAATTAGCCAACATTTTAGAGAATACTCAGTATACAATGTACGATTACAATATACAATTCAGTATAATGATGCTTGTCCAGTGGGCCTAGACTTGTTAAAACTTTAGTTTCTCATCTTCTTCTAAATGTCTTGATAACGAATGGCAGATAGCATTCGAAATATTGACAAAATGAAACAAACTTTCTCTTCGATTTTTTCCACTAAACTCCGTGAATCCAATCCAATCCAACTCCGTGTAATCCATCCAATTATTATTTAATTTGCAGGTGCCTTAGAAGAAGACGAGTGGAAAGATCGAGATGGCCTTTCCACAAAACAGAAACACTTGTTAAAACATCGTGAACTTTTCCTCTCACGACAAATTGAAACTCTTCCTGCTACACAAATCCGTGGAAAATGTTCAGTCACACTTTTAAACGAGACGGAAAGCTTGCTGTCCTACCTCAACAAAGATGTAAGTGAAATGAACGCAAATCAATAGGTCGATATAACTTAATTCCAGTTCGATTAATGTCGTGATTGTGTACTGATATAGGATACGTTCTTTTATTCGTTGGTATACGATCCTCAACAAAAAACTTTACTGGCTGATCGGGGCGAAATTCGTGTAGGTCAGAGGTACCAAGCTGAAAGTGTAAAGCCCAGGCTAAAAGAAGGAGGTATATATTTTCGTGCAACAGCATCCTACTTATTTTGGGTCGACTTGACATGCATCTGCACTGTCATATTTATTTTTGCTTATTTCAGAATCTGATGAACGGGAATTGACAGAAATGGAAACAATGATTTGGACTCCTGAGCATGGATTAACGGATAAACAAATAGATCAATTTTTAGTCATATCCAGATCAGTAGGGACTTTTGCAAGGTATTTAACGAAGCTTTATTTAAAGTTATCATTAAGGTAGTGTGAATTTTTTAACCTTAGCGCATATGCACACAATATAAACTCAGCATTGCGTGCAATAATTAGCCACTCATTAAAAAAGTTACTAAACTATAGCAGTAACTTTTTAAATCTTAAGAAATTTGTAAAACCGGAAAATAGGATATGGTACTGGAAACTGATTCTCCCTTGTAATCATTCAAATCATACATAATGATTTATTAATATAGTGCGGTGACGTTGGTCCCCTGTTCATGGCGTACATGCAAAACTTTGAATATTATATCACAATGTTTTCTAACCTTGTTTTGTGCAATTTTCTTAAAGGTCTTTGGACTCTAGCAGCTCTATTAAACAACCCAGTTTGCATATGAGTGCTGCTGCAGGTAAATATAATTTTTTTAAATCACATTTTACTTAAACAAAGTTAAATAGTAATCATATATATATATATATATTATTTCAGCCTCTAGAGATGTTACACTGGTAAATATTTTGTTAATTATTATTAATTACGGTAATCCATCGAGCTTTGAGCATTGTTTGATATTTTAGTTCCATGCGATGGACACCTTACACAAATACTCGTATGACGTTTCTTCTGCCGTTTCCGCCCTTGTACCTTCTAGTGGGCCTGTTTTATGCAGAGATGAAATGGAAGAATGGTCCGCGTCTGAGGTTCATAAATTTTAAATTACACCAGAACACAGTAATAATAATGCAGGAAATAAGACTATAAGCTACGCTATTTTTATTACAGGCCAACCTATTTGAAGAAGCTTTAGAAAAATATGGCAAAGACTTCACTGACATTCGCTCCGACTTCCTTCCCTGGAAAACACTAAAAAATATAGTAGAGTACTACTATATGTGGAAAACAACTGATCGTTATGTACAGCAAAAGAGAGTAAGTGAAAGTTCATGTAAATATGTAAATGAATGCTCAACTTGAGCCTTATTATGATAAAACCAGTAGTTACGCACGAAAAGAAATAGGCTTTAGTATAATTCATCAAAGTACATGCATAATCAATGACTAGACTGATACATATCAATTTTTTATTTTCAGGTAAAAGCTGCAGAGGCCGAATCTAAATTGAAACAAATTTTTATACCAAATTAGTAAGTTCTTTGTTATTATTACCCAATCTTTTTCACCTACATCCAAGATTCCTAAACTTTTTAGCTCGTTTCCGTGGAGTGAATGTATTAGGATTATGTAATGATTATAAAAAACTATAATAATTATAGTTTTTTCTAATCTAAATAATCCTAATAATTATTATTAGGATTATTTTCTCCGGAACTCGAATTATCTACCTGGTTGTGCTCTTTATAAAAACATGCATATAAATACGTGTACAAATATATAAAAGTATCGGGGACAAAAATGGTCATCAATATCACATAATATGCAATCGAGTTAAAAATTAAAAGCAGTCCCCAGAAAATGTATCAAAAATAATTTTTTTAATAATTTCTCACTCACCCAACAACGGGTGACAACGCCAAAAAATGCGTGCCTGTCCCCAACTCGAAAATTTTTAATAATTTTTAAAAGATGGCCCATCCTTGGACAACCTCATTACATAATCCTAATACATTCACTCCACGGAAACGAGCTAAAAAGTTTAGGAATCTTGACCTACATCTAAACAAAAATCAAACTCAATTATCTGTCTTATATAGTAATAAACCAAATCCGGCTGCTCTCTCGTCAAAAGGTATGATGAATGGGAATGGTGAACAATTAATTCCTGGAAAACCATGCGAGTCGTGCTCATGTAAGTTGTTTGAATGTATTATTACATATTTAAATTCCCCTGAGCCAGAAAAATTGATGCATTCTTATTGTAAATCTCAGCTGCAATGTCAATCCAATGGTTTGCTTGGACTGGTCCTACTGGAGCCCAGGCTAGACTTTGCAGTATGTCGCTCATTACTAATTAATCTATTATGTACTGTGTGTATATTCTACTAATTAAATTAATTCGATACTATAGACCCATGTTGGAACTACTGGAGAAAATACGGAGGGTTCAAAATAGCTAATAAGTCTTGTAAGTATAGGATGAATATCATTATGTGGATGACAACATTAACATTAATTGGATGATGAATTTTATATTTGAATAGTGACGGACGGAGAGATAGAAATGACAAAGAAACCTAAAGTTGACCCTCCATCTGACGATGGCGAAGCCCCAGGTATTGTGCGCTTCTACTTTTGTTCTGATGTAAAATAAAGTGTTTGTGTTATCCATAATTATAATGATTATAAAATGTTTCTATTAATTTTAGTTGATCTTGGATCCATTGCTTCATCAATTCCAGTTGAGCGATCACTTGGTCTCTTACAAACTAGGGTCCACAGATGTGCGGTTGCTGGATGCGGAAAGGTATATCAAATAATTTAATATAAATTTGTTCTATTCATTTAGTATGGATGTGTAAATTGTGTTGTTTTTTAGGACTTCAAAATGAAAAATCAATTAGCAAGGCATTACGCTGCCTCACATGGATTTTCAATGAGATCAGGTAACACATCGAAAGTACCTGGTTATACGTAAAACAGGGATAGATTAGATTCTAGATATTTTTTGAGCCAAAGAAAGTTCACCATAGCCTCTAAATCCAAGTCTTGTTCTTATTCTTCAGGCTCACCACGTCCTGTGATGAAGACAAGAACTGCCTTTTATCTTCATACAACGCCAATGACTAGAGTCTCCCGAAGAATTTGTAGCGACATACTAAAGACACGACATGCCACCAGATCACCTTTTTGGCCTATAAATGTTATGTTAGTAAAGCAAGAATGTAAGATCATGTCATCAAATTATTTCAAAGTTTAAAATAATTATTCTCAAGTTATCAATATTAATACTAATTTTGATATTCTAGGCCAGCTAAGAGTCAATGGAAAGACATCAGAGGAACTAAAACCATTAGTTAATGGTAGAACGCGAAAATCCGCGGGTGCTTCAGTAACAGAGGTATGCAAATTGTTAAAACTAATCCATACCAAGGTATGTTTATTTGGGGGACTAGTTTGAAATTTCTTTATTCGAAGATGAATACTAATCTAACAGTTAAACATACTTTGAGTCCAAATACTTGAAAAAGTACTAATATTAACTTAAACAGGTTTCATACAAACTTGGACAAAGTGACCGAAGCAATCCAGAGTGGTTACTGTTGACCGAGAAGGGCAAAATTCCTCAGCCTGAAAAAATTGCATACCCAAAACCACCAAAGGCGCCAGGTACACATTTTTTTGAAAAACTACCATATGGATGTGATTTATAATTATTGTTATTATTCAGATGGGACTCTGATATACGAGCGAGTTCCTGACAAACAGATATGTGTGAGTGTGAATAGTATTTCTCCATCAAGTCACCTAAAACGACGAGGGTACGAAGAACTTAATGGAATCGATGGTAAGTAATCAATGAAATACCTAATATTGTATTATAATCTAATTGACATTAGAACGGTTGCATTCAATGTAGCAAATAATGATATCAGCATTATCATATTAGTAAAAATAAAAATAAATTAATAAATAAAAAACAGGTCCACCCACCAAACGACTAGCTTGGGATCCAACCGCAAATCCAACAGCTCCACGAAGTAATAGCCGCGGGGGATCTCCTTCACCATTGTCATCTCAACATTTACCTGCAACTGCCGCTATGAATTATCGTACTGTTATGAATCACTTGAATGGTAACAAAGCTAAAATGACGGCTGTAACAAGAATTGGTTCCAGGAAGCAAATTATTTCATGGATGGATGGTATGATCGCATCATAAATGTTGATATAGATAATTTTATTAGGTATTATATTCATTCAGATCGAATATATGTTTCTCTTGAATTTACAGCTCCAGACGATTTGTACTTTGTCAGTAATTCTGAAACTAAGTAAGCATTTAGTGCTTTTAAATTTCGAAACCTCAAGTAATTCAGTAAATTTTTATACTGTTGTATTCTACTATTATTCTAGAAAGGTAAGAAGACTATTGTCCACCTCAGAACTACGAAGATTGGCCAGATCTCCAACTAAGAAATCGTCAAACAAAGCGTTATCTGATTCGGCGTCATCTGTAACCGTTATGCCTGCTGCTGCAGCAGCATTAGCTGCATCGGCGCTCGTGATTCCTCCTCCATCTAGGTCACCAATGTCGACGTAGGGGTGGCTGTTTTCTTGAAAATTTATAACTTATAAACCTACTACTATTCCTAGTACACAACACTCTGGCAATTTATTGTAACGTTACACTAGTACATCATTAATCCGTGGATATTGTTAATTTTATTAGGTTTCATAAACTCGTCGATAAAGTTCTGCACAAACACTTTTATAGTAGTTGTTAGGTTGCTGAATATTACAATGCTCGAGGCTCTGTGTTGTCCATGGCCGGAACGTACGACGTACCAGGCACTAAATGTGATTACAAAAAACTCTAGGCTAATTGTAATACAGTTTTGGTAATACTTAATAAGTAGGTTTGATATTTATGCTTGATTTATAGGTGTATGGTGGTATATTGTACTTTTAAGACTTGGAGTTGGTATTTTTATCTTTTTTAGCATGGACTGTTGTGCATTGACTGCACGCATTTGTTACACAACAATTGGCTAGTTGAATAGTCATCAATACACTGTAAATTTTAATGTTAACTGGAATTGAGCAATATATACATATATGTTTAAGGATAGGTTAGGGTTGGTAGTTAGTTACCCAAAAACTGGAATGAAAGATCAAAGATATGATGTTATAGTGGATATAGTTCGCCCCTCAAAAGTATTAGATAGTTTTTGCTGACAAAGGGAATGAATTGCTGCTTTTTGTCCCTATTTGACATGTAGAAACTTGCAGTAAAGTTGAGACACGCATTATGTTTTGAATTGAAAGGACGTTTTTAGTATTTAGTAAATATACTTATTATGATGTGTTTCAAAGGCTGATGACGGTAACAATTCGTTAAGTTATGCGGATGATATGAATTCGGAGATTGAGAAAACCAAAAATACTATACAGCTCAATTTTTATTTTCTTAACTACACCAAAGACTATTATTGGCAAAAAAATATTTGAAGACTCGTCTTGAAGAGTAATAAAAATACATCATACTCTTATTTATCAAGTTTTCAGTTATGACTAATTATTTATAAGCCGACAGAATCCTCCCTCACAAAATATCTTTCAATTTTATAACAGATTGTTCCAGGTTCTGGTAATTTCTACACATGTTAAATAAGAATAATAGTGTTAAATAGCAAGCAATTCAATGTTTCTCAGTATTGCGTACAAAGGTCCGACTGCATTAAGAATGAAATGATACTGCAGTGAATACGAACCAACAACCATTAGTTAGGAATTATTATAGCAAGAATAATTTACTATATTATGAAATATGCTCTATGAAAGCTATCACACGCTCTAGATCCGAAGACATGTGTCGTTTGATTGATTGAATGAATGAAATATTTATGTTGTATTTATGAATGTACAATCTTGTACAGAATAATTAACTTGCTCATGTTCAGTGCATATATCTTACTCCAAGATTTTGTAAAATATCAGTAAAAACTGCGGTGAATGTTCTGAATGATTATAGAATTGGTGTACATTTAAAATAAACGAGCCGTTTTATTCAAACTTAACCAACATGAACTTCTTTGTTTTAATTCAAAAATAGGTTACTAGGTTACTAGCTATAAGAGCTTAATTTTTTTTAAGATTTTAAATGCGATTATAAAAACATTATTTACTACACATTGATTGAACTAGCTTTTAGATTTACTATTTGAGTTTGGCGACGACGACGACTCCAAGCGAAATGATACCACAAGTGAGGGATTCATTTTGGTAATGGTTGCAGGTAAATGGTCACTGATAAAGATGCCCTTTGGTGTTCTTGATTCCAAAGTTTCTACATGGCCAAGCCAGTAAATAACCAAACCAGGTCCAAATCTAACTCAACAATGAAAATGTAAATTAATAGTACAGTATTACTGTTCATTCAAGATTAATATGCAGTAAAAAGTCTGAAAGGTTATTTGGCGGATGATTGGTTTCCATTGATTGAGTTTGTTTATATTTTCCAAATTTATATAATATTGAGCAAAGGAAATGTATGAAATATAAAAATCATGGTAATTGGTTACCTATTAAAATAACATGTAAGCTGTTCATTAAGATACGTTTGATGCGTCACTTCGTCACCAAACGTTGCCTTGCTTTCTATCCAGTTGACTACTCGACCTTCAATTCCTAGTACAAAACGAACAAATTATTAAATTACTGTAATATTCGACACATTTCTAAATCCTATTGGTAAGAAGAAAATGTAGTACCGATGGGAATGTCCAATTTGAAGTCAGGAGTCTTATCGTATCCCAGTAGTCTCAATTGCTTCTCGTCAAGGTATGAAATTTTCTTTTCGTCAAGTTGCTTCATGAGTATCATTTCATATTCAGAGCCAACTGTCCTATATTCATTTAAATAAAATTTCCAATTAATACACATGGTATAGTTTACCAAAATTAGCACACACATAGACTGTAGATTGTTCCATATGCATATTAATTACCTCTTGATAATGTCAGGACAAGGTCCGTAGTGATTATCGTGTACTAAGCACTGCAATTTAAGGGGTTAGGGACGAAATATGGAGAGGACGGAATATTACCTCTGAAAAATGGCTGAAAAATATGTGGACGACAGAAATATGGATAGAAATATAATGTGGATGAAAAAAATGTGGAAAATGTAATTCTTTAGATAAATTAAAAATATAGCTTTGACTGGGGTAACAATTTTACATGGAGCTATCATTGGATTTCTGAGAGCTACCGACTTCAACTCGGACCCAAAATTTCCGATTTCCGTCCTGAAATTCGGTGTAAATTTACGTCGGGTTTGGGTCTCAAATTGTAATGAGAACTTCTAACCAATGTTCTTTAACATACATGACACAGTGTAATATAATACCAGGGCACGTTCAAAAACTCCATGGGGGTGTAACCTGAACATTATATGCATATTTACAGTCAGGGGGACTCAATAAATACGTCGAATATTTTTACCGACGAAACCCCCTGTTGGAGGAGTTAGCCCCCAGGGGTGTGTATAGTAAATTTGAATAGTTTGTACTGTGCATAGGGACAAATTAAATTAGAATTAGAAGGGTGAGTACAAGAATAGCACATAATCCTCATAACCCATAATTTCCATATTGAAGGCATCCACGTTTTGCCCTTTCCATATTTATGGCCATCCACATTTCTCCACCCACATTTCTTCCCATCCACATTCATTTTATACACATTTTGTCCGGATCCCCAATTTAAGAACTACTATAAAAATCCAACTAGCAATTCAATGTTTGTCTGTTTTTATGCTTACCAAATAGACTTCATATGCGACATGTTGATCTTCAATCAGATTAGAATTTCTTAACAATCTGGTAATTTCAGTTCGCATGTTTCCAAAATTGTAAAATATTTTCTTCTTATGAAAATCTCCCATTGCATCAGCTACTTGCTCAGCCTCGCCTGCACTGCCGACTTCATTCTGTTGCTTATCATACTGAGCTTGTAGTTGGCGTAGATAACCTTCTAAAATGAATCTAGCAGTGAGTACAGGAGTGATCCCAATCTCGTCTGATAATCGCAATATAATTCCCGATTCCTCCCTCGCAGCCACGGCTTGCTGAAACCTAATTTAGACCATTTATGAAAACACTGCTATTTTAAATAATAATCAAGTGATTTGTTTTATTCATTACCGTTTGTAATACAAATCGATATTTTCCGGGGTGTTGTGTTTCGAATGTGTCGCCTTCATCCTACGCTGCACATAGTTGGACAATAGACTTCCCAACGTCATAAATGGAACTCTGAAAAATACCATATTTTAAATATTTTGCCTATATTTTTTTGTTTAAGCGCAAAGTGAAAGTTACTGTTTTGTGTGCTGGGTCTTACGTTGGATATTTCCCTTCCAGCACCTCTTGACAATCTCTTATATTGTTGTTTTGAATAGTTTTTATAATATCGTTGTACAAATTAATTGACATCATATTTAAGTTGTTGATTCTGCAAAGTGAAGACACAAACGTGCACGGCAGCTGTTCACAAACGAACATTGAGTGAGTGAGTAGTGTGGGACTGTTGAGAAGCCGGGTCCAAGAAGGAGGGAAATATTTCGTATGGCTGACTGGCAACCAACCGCCTGCCTCATCATTCATCAATCTCAAATGTCACATGTGCAATTCACATCAAATTCTCTCAAAATTTTGGGAGTTAATTAATTTTAGGTTCAAAATTAAGGAATTATTTTTTGTAAAGGTAGGTCAAACAATATGTGGGTACATAACAACTACCTACCAATTAGATGATAGCTTCAGCTACAAATTGTTCGAACGAATATAACTAATATAACTATTTGATATTATAGCAACTACTTACTATACGCAATAAGGACGATTGACAACTGGTGAACTGCCTGCAGAGAGAAAAGATTGTTGAAAATGGGGAAGCATCGCAATTCCTCGCCAAAAAGTCGGTCTTCTAAAAAGCAACCGAGATTAAATGGTAAGTACATGCTTCCTAACAATGGCAAAGTCAGTCGTCATAATTAATCACACGCAATTTTCAACTGTTAATATTAGAAATTATCATTCATAGATGACTGTGCAGGGGGAAGTCGCCAGAACCCTTCTCCTATCCTGACCTCGACCCCACAAGCAACTGCAACGAACAATGGTTCAACCCCAGAACCGCGCGTTGATCTCGATACATACTACAAGATGAGGGGGTTGTCATTGTCGCGAGCTCTCCGCCTCAATAGAAGCTATGTGGGACATGAAGGCCCGGTTACAGCGAAGGCCTGCAGAGGACTCGTTTACTTGGACTTGTATGTTCCTCCAGAAGGATACACAGGTAGGACAGGACTATTTGATTTGCCACACTCACTTAAACATATTATAGTTACACTGCCACTTAAATAAGTACCACTTATTGCATTCCATCAATTTGATTGCAGAGGCTGACGTGCCCAACATCGAGGATCTGCCGTATAGTCAACCCCTAGAGGATGACAACGTGTCTCCAGCTATTCGAATAGCTGCCATGTACAAAATGAAAGAAAAACCTGTTGTTAGAGATAAAGATTATGATTCCGATGAGGAATTTCAGAAATTGTATAACAGAATCACCCACCGTTCGCCCGATAAAGGTATAAGGTCATGAATAGTGTAGAAATATTAGTGTATTATGATGCTTTTGATAGTTTATTAGTTAAACCTATTATATTATGATGTATTAATACTCGATGCTGGATTTTAGAAAATTCGCCTCAAGTTGTGAAGCAAGAATCAATGAAACTGGACACAGCTACCGATTCCGAATTAAAGATGGAAGAGATGTCCCTTAGTTTCAATACGTCTACTTCTTCATTCCCAGATTGGGGAGATCTCAATGACTCTGCACTAGTTCGATGTACTGAGGCCGCTGAAGAGGCAGAACAAAACCTGCAAGAGCAGAACAAGAAAAATAAGGAAACCGACAATGATTTCAGCATCATCAATATTGTCACTGAAAACAATACTGGTATTAGGAATCAAACAATCAATGACATCACCATCGGATCAATTCCTTTGAATCCCACAGTCTCAAACATTTGTGTTGATACTCCAAAAAGTGCTAAAGGTATTTCTCGACGGGATGCTCGAAGAGGCCAAGTTATGAAAAGTTCAAGACGTTCATCTTCGAGTACTTCATCTTCTTTGAACACTGTTGAAAAGATGACTGTTCCAGTTGGGTCAGAATCAAAATCAATTAGTCAGTCATCTTCCTACCGAAAACAGGGCAATCATCATGTATCTCGAACATTGCTCTGGAATGATAATGATGTAGCACCAGCACCACCGGCACAAGTAACAAACAAAATTGGGGATTTTGAATCTGACGATGACGACGAAATCTTTAGTCAAATACCAATACCTGATGATATTGTTGAAAATGTGGTCAACTACACGACGAATGGTGCTAATTACAAACCTGATATGCGTATGTAAAGATAACAATATTTATTTCACTCTACAATCTATTTAACTAATTTTGCAATGTACCTAGTATTTATTGTTTTCGTTATCACCACGCCACTATATCTTAAACAAGCCATATGTAATGTTCTTTGCTGTACTGACTAATTTATATTTTAGCTTGGCTTCGACTGCGCAATACTCTGTTACCTTTGCCATTAATATGTGTCGGCAAATTCAGTAAATGTAAATATCAGTTATATGTATCTAATAGGCGAATTATGTGATCAAAGTACGTTAATAATTGCGGACGACGACAGTTTACTAAGTAACACGGACGTTGTTGCTCAAAGTGACGAAGGTTGGTTTAGTTTGTTAATTGCTTACTGTATTTGCTATTGTAATAGTTTTTAATTGGCTTTATTTAAATTTTAGAAATGACATCGCCCACTAAAACTATGAGAAAAAAACAAGAAGACTCAGTGGAAAATGTACAAATACATGGAATCATGGAATCTCGGTCTCGATCTCTCTCGAAAAAATCAGTCAAAACATCATTCAATACACGGTATCGATAAGTGGTAGAAAAGCTCAACGTAATACTTTTTATAAAATTGTTATTACTATATATATATTCATATTTATATATCGGATTAGGGTAGATGGCCCAATAATTTTGCTAAAATTTATATTAATTGTTATATACCTACACTTGTTAGACCTATTGTGCTAATATAAAAATTAAATACTTGTGACTCGATAATAGTACTTTATCTCATTGGCAATACTGAATGTTGTCTTAATTTTTTGTACTAGAAATAAAATAAATTGAAAATCTTTATTAAACCATATTCGAGTCAATGATAATGGTCTTGTTTCGTGTAATTAATCGTCATCAGAGTCCGCGTCATTTGGTATTTCGATATCTTCATTTTCCTTGGGATCTGGAACAACAGTTCTTCTCGCTTCCAGAATGATCTCGTCAATAGCCCCCCGAAGTCCTGCATATAGTGTTTCTACATGAGCGCCTGGTTCCAAGTCTAATTCTATTTGGAGTGCTTTGGCTGCCATTTTCTCCCTGACTTCATCCGCTACAACGATCGTTGGATCTTCAAACAAGTGTTGAATTTGGTCATCTAGCTCTGGCACTTCAATCGATTCGTCCTCCATCTGTGTGGGTTCTCCAGTTCCCAGTTCTATCTGGGCATCGGGTGGCAGTTCTGGTGGAACAAATTCTGGAATTTCGACGTCATCAGGGTCATTCTCCTCTTCTTCCTCCTCTGCTGCAAGTCTGGCTTCTTCCTCTTTTGCAAGTCGCACGGCCTCTGCTTCAGCCAACCGAAGCGCAACGACAGCAGCCTCGGCCTCGTCCTCAGCTTTAATAACTCCGTCCACCGCCTGCTTGATGAGGTCGTCTACTGCTGATGCACTTCCATCCGTAGCTGCCCACCCGACAAGGCTGTGTTCTTGGACGATGGGAGGGAGTGGCCCAGTTACAATCTGCTTGAGAAGTTCATGGGCTCCAAATACAGCATCTAAAACTTGTGAGGCTGCTTTCTTGTAACGTGTCTGAGCAGCATTCAGTTTTTCTTGGTGACCAAGTCTGCTTAGTTCTGGAACGATGTAGCCTGACACTATTTCTGCAGCGAGCTCTTCCTTCTCAAATTCTCCAATCCTATAAAATAATTGGACATATATCTACTTCTGTGCGTTAATAATTAGGACATGCAATAAAAATACTTACTCTGTAGGCATAGAATAAGCAACTTCGTTCAAAGTCGATGCCATTTGACGCACATAATTTCTGGAGGCTTCGTCCGCCGCACGATCACTGCTTTCAATGTAGATATCTTCCAAGTATATATCCACGGTTGCTTGATGGATTCCAACGATCTAGATGAAGATGAATAATTGTGAGATGGTTATACTGTTACTCAAGGATATGCGACAACGTGAAAATCTCACGCAAACTTATACCTGTCTAAACATTTCATCATTCGTTCTCCGATTTTCTTCTTCCACGAATCGTCTCCCTGCCTCCATCGCTGAAAGAAGAAATGTTTAAAGTTTACTTTGAAACATTATCCAATAATATTTGTTGGCATTTCTAAATTAATGTACATACGTACCCTCTTTACGACGCCTCTCCCTCTCGGCCATGAGGATGAGAGCATGAACCTTGCGTTCGTCAATCAGACGAATCATTTCCTTGTCCAAAAATTCGAGCATTTTGTTGAGCGTCTCCCCTTCCAAGTGACCCAAAACTTCTTTCACTTCAGTGTCCTATGCGTAAATGCATATAAAATGTATTGATAAAACTTGACCATGACGAACATATTTGCATATCTACGAATAATACACCTTTGTTGTCTCCGCGTCGGTCTGTTTCTTCATGGACATCAACTTTTGCATTTGTCCTTCCTCAAGGCGCAAACAATTGGGGTCCATGTCAAACATTAGTTTCATTCCCAAAAGTTCGTTCATATTTTCGCTGATTTCTTTGCGAATCTAGCTCAAAGTAAAAAAAAAAGAGTAAGCATTTGTAGCAATTAAATTGTACACTTTACTTTAATGCAATGAAACTAAATGCACCATTTTCTGGACCACTCGGCCTCGAGCAATTTTCTGCAAAGTAATGCAGTGGGGTTTCCTCCGCCCTTCTTCGTTTTCTCCTTCCAGCGAAATTAGTGGAGCGGAAAGGCGTCCATCCAATTCGGGCATTAAAGGCCCAGGCTCGGGCCGTTCGAAGGGACTTACTTTTTTGGGAAGCTGCCAATCTACATAAATAATAATCAAACCTAGAATACATGAAATCTTGATTGTAAAATAGATGAAAATTTAACCTTTAAAAGTTGCATATATTTTCTCCAACTTTCTTTCCAGCCTTTTTTCTGTTTCACTAAGTTCGCAGTTCTTGATTCTCTGTTTGAAATTATTCATGTCAAACAACATTTCTCCTTGAACAAAGGATTTTGACTCGGTCAACTCTTGGAACGCTGCACTCAAAATCGAAATAAATTTAATCACGTGATGATGATGCGATGAGCTTGAGATAATTAATAACATAACTGCTCGGCTAAAATCAACTAAAAACATTTACATACCTTCAATGTCCCTATGCAAAACAAACTGGAAATGAGGAGCTGGGTTAAGGACGTCCATGTGTGGGCCATCCCGAACCAAGGGGGCGTATAGGTTAGAGTCAAATTCGGTGTAGTCTTTAATTATATTTCTCTTTGGTGATGGTTTAGCCTCGAAATATTTCTTTTCCAGCATCCTCATATCTGATTCAAACAAAATATACATGCAAAGTATTTGCAATGATTACCAAACAAATTTCGAGTGACATAATATTTTGTTATTTGGTGATTACACACCTCGAAAGTATTGATGCTTCACGTTTTCCAAGTGTTTAGAGTTTCTACTTTTCAGAATCCCTTGCAGTCTTTCGAGCCTCATGGTCTGCTCCGTCCCAACTTTTGCGCTATACTCGACCAGTAATTTCGTTGTAATGTCCTGTTTTAATTGGAGGATTTTCTCTAGTTCCTGGTGTGCGGAAACAAATTTTTGTCGTTTCAAGCTAATTTTATAACCCTTGGACTATTTTAATCAAATACTATCTCAAATTGGTTAACCTTCTCACGATCCGCCCACTGCTGAGCTTCCAACTCTTCCATCAACTTTATCCGTGTTTCGAACCCTTTCTTGTCTTCTGCAATTCTGTCCGTGTGTTCCAGAATTCTTCGTGAGAGTGCTCTTTCGATGACCACAATATCATCAAGAGTAAATGGCAGTCCCTTCCCTGATAAAAAGTCATTTAGAAAATGCATATTTAAGAGAAAAATAAGAGAGTGTCATCCTACCCCAGGTCAGCTTCGCCAAGGCCAGCACTTTCGGGTAGGCCCCCGGATATGGGAGTTTGTAAGGGGGCGAATACGGGTCAGTTTGGGTCTCGGTCTCTCTTAGATCCGTCTGCATTCCACGGCTAATAAATCCACTTCGTTGGGTTCTTTGAGTCTGCAAAATCTTCTTCTTCTCCTCCGGAGGCAGCTTGTTAAAATCAAAGGGCTCCCGATGCATTTGATAAGACGGAGGACCATATCTTTTTAAGGTCAGAGTTCATGACATTGTTTTTTGGAATTTTATGTCACACTGCCAGAATAATACCTGAGTCCATATTTGGCACGGTCGGCACCAGTCACGTCGTCACATTGTCGAGGCAGAGGTAACGAACCAGTGTCCATTGGCATGATTGGGACCCTTAATTTCAACAATAATTGCGTCACGTAAATAAAAACGCCAAGCACACTAAACATAATCAGAAAGACTGAGAAAGTCACCCTTGGATGTCATACTGCGGCATGTACCCCTCGAGATTGCTTGGCTGTGGAATTGTGAGACATGGTTGAATCCTACGGTCTGTTTTCAGTTCACTAAAGAACGATTCGTACACTGGTTTCAATTTCTACGAAGAAATTCTACATTAGTGGTTTATGATAGTTTTTCATTTTTTAGGTAAATTTATAGCTATCTTACTACTCGTGCCCCAGACTTGATCCCAGACGCTGCATCCTTCATAAAATCCTCTCGGCTCGGCATGATATAATTGGGATCTATAAATTAGTGACCTTAGGATGATACATCCTTAGTGCATGTATGGATATGTGTATGTGGCATGTGTAAAGATCTCACCATAAAGGAAGTCATGAGGTCTTGAAGGGAACACGAGGTTCCGATTAGGAGGAGTTTGGTAATTAGACATGATGGTATCGTTGCGAAACAAGATTTAACTAAACTTTGCAGAATTCGGTCACCGAATCCAATCACCAAATGATATCGTCTTATGCTATTGGCCATGCGATTTTCGACGAAATTGAGCTAAGCATTTACATAACGAAGCACCATAGCTACAAATCCCTTAAAATTGTATATATGCAGTGAGTCTGTTTGGTCGATGGAACTTTCTCCAACCAGAAAAGATAAGAATAAATACAGCATACGAGTCAGAAAGCACATGCATATGACTGCAAATCTCAAAAGAATCTCGTCTTGGTTTGAAAGATTGGTTGCAACGTTTAAATAATGTTTCGAGAATTATTTCGAGAATTATTTATTGGACCAGACTCAAGTGTCACAGCGCAATATTTTGGAACAAGAATTAATACATTTTTTCTTGACAAATTATTTGCCACAATTTGTATTGGAACATCGTGGACCCTGTTCTTAAAGTTGTGGAGAACAAAACGTAAATTTTTGGGGTCAGAAGATCCACGATATTTGTACATGCGGAACAGACGACTACATATGACGGATACACTGCATGCACGTAAGATTGACATGTTTGCACTTTCTCAACTTCCCCAATATAAATTAAATGAAATATTTAGAAATGCTAAATATTATTACTCATGAGGCATTACTAGTGCTAAATTCATTTATATTGATACTTTTGCAATTTGCAAGTGCTGTCAGATCCAGAAATTGACATAAACCATTTGAACAACGACTTCTTCAGATATGGATTTGCACCCTACGCTTACGTCGCTCGTGATGACTATAGATTGGGGGACGCGGAGTGGACTTATCGCGACGTGTGTAAATTATAGTCCATCATTAATCATTGCCCATAATAATGTGCTGTAAGGATTTCTTAAATTGTCTGCACTAATCTTAGATTGAAGCTCCAAGTGTGATGACTTCAAGTGGTCAAACTAGTGAAGTCACTATTACGGAATCTGCTGAATTTGAATACTTTAAGAAATCCATATGGTGAGAAAATGTATAAATAATTAGCAAACCTAATGATTTATTAATGTAATTTAATTGGCAGCATATGTGGGAGATTTCCAATGTCCCATCTTAAAAGAATGTTTAAAGAAAGCGAAATTCTGGAAATGGAACCTGACCAAGTTTTGTTTGAGATTGGAGATCCAGGTAAATTGCTCGACCTTATCAAGGTTGTACATATGTTTCACTAATTTTCAATTTGTGATAACTTGCCCCACAGATGACTTTATGTTCATAGTAATCCATGGTTCAGTTCAAGTGTTAATATTGGATGATAAGAAAAACACTAAAAAATTGAGAGTGGCTCAGGTATTCTCCTAAAATTATAAAACTAAATAATGAAACTGAAATCGTAAAAGTAAAATTGCGCAGCGTGGGGACCGAGTTCATTCCTTGTTTTCTTTTGTTGATGTCCTAACTGTAAGTATTTCAAAATATTTAAAACACATGCATACGTACACATACATACAAGCTATGTACTTATTGTTTATTATGGTTTATCTGTTCAAGGGAAATTCCAAACCACTCAAAACTGTTGAGGCATTTGCAATTACGAAAAGCCGTGTTGTAAAATTTCCTGTGCCAATTTTTCGAGTATAAACTCCCACGTTTACCTTGTTATTACGGTTTAATTCTAGCATTCTTTTGACCAAAGTGTTTCCTCTCAGGAATATTTGCAGCTACACAAAGAGAGAATTCCAGATGTAATTTGTAGGCTGATTAGAAAGATCTATGAAATAAACTATTTGATGCTGCATCGGGTGCTAGGTTTGGCGTTGATCGCAATCGCCGACCCTCCGACGCCACTTTTGCTCCAAAGCCAACAGAGTTCACTTCTATCGATGCATCATGATGATTATCCCATCCCGGCCCCTACCGAAGATATTCCTGACCAGGTTTGTTGTTGTCAATTAATATTCATGCAAGATCAGGTAATGATGATCAATTAATGGTTGCACAAAAAACATGCAGATACGAGAAGATGCCATCAAATCATTTGCCACATATCTTGGGATTCCTGGAAATTCAAACGTATTGGACAATTGCCTCTTATTTATATTTGATCCAGACCAGAGGCCGAGGGAGGAAATCCTTACTGGACATCCTGTCATCGACAATGAAGTTTGATAACAATATCTAACATAGTAATTATTTATTTGAGACTAACTGTAAATATTTCACGTATTGACAATTTCAGAACATCAAGTTTAAGTATATATTCAAGGGTCAGGTAGAACTCTACAGAATCAACTCCAATCTTCAGGATGACAATGACGCTGATACTGAAGCCATTTTAACACATGAAACCTTATACATCCTCTTTCCTGGCGAGGGGGTATGAGAGAGAGAGAATATACCTGATTCCTGTACCACTCTAGTTTTTGTAACTTCAAATTAATTGTGTAATTTAAATTTTCTTGTAATAATAACAGGTCGGAGGTCTTTCCACATTTGCAGAAGTGGACAATTTCCTATTTATGCGTATAATTCGTCGAACAATTATTGTTGCAACTACACAGAAAATTAATCAGAGGTGTGTGTAAAAACATACATTCAACGTATTTTAATTGTGTGTTTAGGTATTAATGATTTTCTGTTCAGACTGTTCCAACAATATCCATGCGCAATTCTTCCGATGGCTAATCAAATTATAAAACGCCTGTCACCAACAATTCGTAAAATGGACTTTGGCCTAGAATGGGCAATGGCTGAGGGAGGGAAAGCTTTGTTTGTGTATGAAAGCAGTAATTAAAAAATGTTTTGGATGTACCAATGTCTATTTATGTATGTGTTTGGGTGATTTTTGTAGGACTGGGAGCGAAGTTCGAGGTAATGCATAATGAGAGAGAACAGTATTCCTCGGACTCTGATAGTCTAATCCTAATTTGAAATTGCTCAATGTTCTCGTCTACTATACGTAGACACATTTGTGGTCCTTGAGGGCAGATTAAGATCATACATGATTGATCCAAAAGGAAAACTGACCTACTACGGCGAATACGAAAGAAATGACTGGATAGGACTTGTGGAAGCATTGGTTAGATATCCAGTTCGCAGCAAGACCGTCATAGCCGTTAGAGACACTGAAATTTGCAAAATTCCCATTGATTTCATCACCTTTCTGAAAACTACATTCGATGCTGCGGCATTCAGTCTTCTTGGATATATCGGTCACCGAGTTGGGAAATGTAAGAATTGGGTGATAACTAAATAAAGGGAGCTTGTTCTAATAAAAATTTGGTTTTCACAGATCGATTTTACACTCAGTCGTTGAAATTATCTCCTGAAATGCAATTAGTTGCAGGGACCTCGCGACGATGTGCATCATTGAGTCTGATCCCGGGTGAATATTAACTCAGCCCTTGAGTTTTTAAAGTATTATTTTCAGTCATTGAAGGCAGTTATTAATATTTACGCTTTCATCCCAGCGATTGAAGATATGCCCTACATCCCATTTGCAAAGGAGATAAAAATGCACCATGACATATTCGGTTAGAGAAATCCTTGTTGTTATTTTCTGTTGTTATAAAATTAACTATGCATTTCATAATCATGAACTGACGCAGGTCCATCAGTGGTTTTGTCATGGATCACAGTCCAAGAAGAGTTTAATCTGGAATTTTTGGATTACGATCATGAATATATGGTGGAAACTTGGGTACTGTCAATGTTGGCTCGACATGATCTCGTAATCTTTGTGGTAATTCATCCTATCGAATTATTGGCTCCAATTGAATAGGGTTTTGGGATTTTTGTATGTTTATTCCTCGTTTGATATTATACATTCCAGTGTTCCAACGAAAGCTTGCAATGGACAGAGTAAGCAATGGCTCATGTGCATGTTAAATATTTATTTGACTATGTATTAATAACACTCAGCTTATTTTATTTTAAAATGTCGACTCGTTCTTACGTTTTGCAGTTTGTGTATTAGACATTCTGAAATAATTATTACACTTGGAGTTCAAGATCGACCGATTGATGCTACCAAAGTATTTATCATTTAATTTAGCTTGACGTACGTACAAATGAGTTTATTATTTTGTGTCCAGCTTGAAAAAATGATGATCAGTAAGCATATTTCACATCGGAAAAGAAAGGAGTTAGTAATTTTGCACAAGTTGGAAAGAGATGAAAGACACAGTGAGCTCTCCTACATAATTACGTACATAAACTTTGGGACGAGTTAAAATTTAGTGATTAATATTCTGTATAAAATCTGAATAGATCGATATCAGCTCCCTCGGGACACAATAGCTTGGTTGGAACAACGACCCTGGATTAATTGTCATCATCACATTAGGATTCCTGCCGAAGCGTGGGATTTCACTGGTTTAGTGTCGAATTCCCAAATAGTAATCAATCAAGTTACGGTTAGACTATATCCTTTGGGTCTATGCACTTACTTGTGCGGCATTCTTTGTCTATGCAGGATTTACATTACAAGTCTTTGCATCGCAAAACAATCAAACATTCCGACATGTCGAGGTTTTGTAGATGGCTTATTGGAAAGTCCGTGGGTATGGTTTTCACCGGCGGTGGGGCTCGTATGGCTGTACAGGCTGGTAATTTTCTCAACTTTTAAATACTTCTTGATACATAATGGATTGCACCACGACGAGTTTTAGACCGTATATTTTTATGCAGGAGTCCTGAAAGCAATAGTTGATCATGATGTCATGGTTGACATGGTTGGTGGCGTTGGGACTGGGTACATCATATGCGCATTGTATGCCATTTACGAAGATATAGATATAGTGTTAAGATATGCGGAAGAAATGTTTAGGGTACAACACCTTGCACATATTCGAGCACTGATAATAAGGCACTTGTACTTATCATTTTACACTATGAATTATTTTCAGGGAATCCGAGAGGCATCCAAGACGGCATTCGATCTCACAATCCCATACATTTCTCCAGTACAAGGGCGAGCATTACTTTCTCTGGTTATGAAATTCTTTGCAAGGACGAGGATGGAGGACACGTGGTACATAAATTGCTCACTCGATCTGTTATCAGTGAAATGTATAATTTCACTGACAACTATATTATGAGCAATATTCAAAAACATGAAGTTTTCATGCTAGGTTAGATTAACATTAAACTTTATGCATGCATAGGATTCCCAATTTCTGTTTGACGTGTGACATCAGTAAACAAGATTATCGTGTTCACCGAGATGGTACGATGCATAATATATTATGAATGGTGTATAAGAATTAATAAGTAGTTAAGAGTAAATTTTAATGTAATAAATACGAAAAGGTCCATTTTGGATCTACGTGCGAGCTTCACTGGCTAATTTCATGGGAGGACCACCAATTAACGATCCAAAGGATGGAGGCTACATTGTTGACGGGACTTTTGCCAACCCAATTCCTGGTGCAACTGAAAAATAGATTCCAGGTCACCGTAACAAATTTATTTACTGATTCCACTCTTCTGATTGTTCATAGAGGACATTATGCGGAAATTCGGAGCGGAATATGTGCTAGTCATTAACACAACGGACGGAAAAACTTTCGACACTCGAAAATTCGACCCCACGAAAGACATTTGGACAAATGCTTGGCGATTATTTTTGTTGCTGGCGTCACGCCTCAATTTCAAGACCCCAGATTTTGTTAGAATTAACGAAATGATCAATCGTACACAGAAAATGATGTACTCGGAAGCAGTGGAAGCAAATACTGATGGACTATATGTGGCTTTTATTAAACCTAATTCAGAAATGTACCCTGCGCAATTGTATCGAGATTATAATAGGCTCTTAGTAAGTAACTGGACATCTACATATATTATGAGCAACGGAAGTGAAAGCAGGTGAAAGTAGAAATTTCATGTGTAACTATATACAACTCTTGAGTTTGGTCGTTACAAATTCCCTTCACTTCTGTCGGCGAACTTTCAAAATCACATCAATTCTCGCCAGGCATACAAAACATCAGACAAAATTATTGTGGAGATTTAAGAATTAACTTGTTTATCGGTATAGCACTTGGGACACCAATACACTCAAATAATTCTGGCCGAGTGTCCAGTGAAGGGTGTTCCCTTTCATGAGTTCTGGTCGAATATGCGTTTGGTTTCAGCCAAGACGGAGCAAAAACAAGGTCGAGGAATTCGGTACCAAATAAATGAAGATTTTTGGGAAAGCATAGATGCACGCATTTTTGAGAGAGACGGTAATTAATATTTTACAAAAATACGTATAAGTGAATGATACTAAATATGAGTGGGTTCGTGTTATTTCTCAAAAACTTTTAGAAAAATTGGAGAAAGACAAACATACAGAATTGGCCACAAAGTTTGGTCCTCACTTCGTCAAAGGCAACCAACCAGACCCCGAAATGGTCAAGAAAGTTGAGCGCCAAAACAAATACTCGAAAGCATTCAAGCACTTTGTCTTTAACAAGATGGATGTTGATGGTCACGAATTCAGTCTCAATGACACCGGAGAAGAAGAATACGATGAAAATGAGTGCGACGAAAGTTAATAAAATATTATTGTTTAACATAATCTTTAAACAAAGTAGGTGAAACTAGAGTTGGAAAAAATAATATGGAACATTTTCTGGAGAAACACTTTGTGTCAAGTAAATTGCTTCTCTTTGTGAAACTGATATTTTGTTTATGCTTCACGTCACCGTCACGATCTCCTCCAAATCCGATTTTTTGATTGGTTAAAATTTTTAATTGTCATAGTGATAATTTCGCTCAGCCAATCAAAAAATCGGATTTGGAGGAGGGCGTGACGATAACGTGAAGCATAAACGCACCTTGAGACAACTAAAATTCCGTCATAGATATAAGCAGACAACGAGTATCAGAAAAATGAATGCATCAAGGAAAAAAAATAGCTACTGTCATCGGTTAAAATACATGTGGCTTTAGTGGATTATTAAAGTTTGAGTTAGGGAACAGTCTGGGCATCCTAGTGAGCGAGTTGACTTTTTCTCCTCGCCACTTACCAGTAATGTAAATGATTTTTGTCACTAAGACTTCTAATTTGCAGCTAATACAAAATGGATTGATTTCGTTTTGGTGGCAATAAATTCCCAAGTTTGTGCTTTACAATTGCCATGTTGCATAAATTCCATAATAAATCTCGGTGAAAAGTATTGGACTGAAACATGATATGAGTCCATGTTTCAGTTCAATACTTTTCTCTGAGATTTATTATGGAATTTATGCAACATGGCAATTGTAAAGCACAAACTTGGGAATTTATTGCCACCAAAACGAAATCAATCCATTTTGTATTAGCTGCAAATTAGAAGTTTTAGTCGAAATTTTTCTCCTTTTCTGGTTCGCGATGCCCCGTTTGGAGAGTGGGAACGGTCACTCTCTAAACCCAAAGCAACTTTTTACATGCAACTGCCTGCATTGTTTACATGAAAATCAGCTGCTCTGTTCGCCCCGCCCCCCCTCATTAGCAAAAAATCTCTCGGCACACAAGGAGACGCAACCGTCGTCTCTGTCTTTTAGTTATGAGATTTTTTCAACGTATATGCATTCTTAATAACTTTCACCACAACAGGCTAAAATCTCCCGTATGTCCGAGAAGACTGGAAGCGTGGTTTTCTAGAAAGAAATCATTATCGCTGTCTCCATATGGCTTTTATTAACATTATGGCGTCACTCACTTTCTCCTGCTACTTAATATGTGCACTTGACACGGATGCCGAATTTCGGAGTTGGGCTGTCCTTCTACCCGTTCAGCCAGCACGGCATGGTGGCAAAATTGCCAACGGAGCTGTATCGATTTTCTCCCTGGACCACTCTATTCAATATGAATGCAGGAAAACCCTAAAACCACGGCTGATGGTGAATTAGCATTACTTCCAGCCAAGGCTTTCTCCGTTTTTTCTTCATTCACTGCACGGTGAAAGTTCAAAAAGAGATTGTCCATCAACGGCTGTGTATCCAATGGAAGATCGATGTAGACATAAGAGCCAGCCAGAAAAACAACGTTGAAAGGTTACGCAAAGTTGGCATGCCTTATCGCATGATAAAAACGCGCATGTTGCACAGACAAAAAACTCTCCGGATGTGAAATACTACATTTTCTCTTTTCTAAGCAATGGCTGGCACATTTCTTGAAATTTGTCTGGGTTTTTGCCACAAGTTTGATATAACTAAATAATTAAATATATGTACAATATAACAGTTTCGTGAAATTGTGGCAAGTACGAGAAGAATGGTACTTGTGAATTATTAAGTTTACTTTCAAGTTGTCTTCCAGTCGACTAAAGCGGTGAGTTATACTTATTCAGATGGATATTTTCACGTTTATGCGAGAGTGTACATAGATATTTAAGTACTGGATATTTCTAAATGGCTGGGATTAGGAATTATGATGCCTACCTGCAAAATGAACGAAACCAAGTTGGAGGTGAACGAGAACTACGAGGAGGCTGACCTCAGCGACGTCGAGGACGACGTTTTTGTCCGGAGTGGAGGGAGGAACGGATACCGAGTGGAATATGACATTGCCAAGAAACCTCTCATGACACCGAGAAAGAAAGTGGTAATAAGCAATTCCGCTAACTCCACTTTCCTGTATACGAGTCATGCATTCTTATAATTTTACAATTTGTGTGATGTTCCAGTATGGTTTCGACAATATGAAAAACGGTGGTTTACATACCGAAGTTCGTTCAGCGCCACAATCCCTCAGAGTAATTTGTATGCCCATGTGCTACATTTTGATCTCCACTTTTGCGTTCTTAGGTAAACGAAAAGCCAATAATTATTCTCCAAGTATAATTTAATTGTCAAATATACAAGAATTATATGCGCAACACAGGGCTGATTACTGTAATAACATTCCTCACGAATTATGTCTCTTGGCCCCTGAGCATTGTGAACATTTGGAAGAAAGGTCATGGAAGTAGCGGCTCCCAGCAGTTTGTGCCCTGTGATAACTTTGAAGTGACGGATGTTTGGGTGCAGCAGTTTCCAAAATTACTTACAGAATCAGCTTTTCGCCTCGTCGACGTCAATGGCGATGGAGTCGATGATATAATATTTGGATATGCAACAGGTATGTACAAAAGTTGGGCGAGAAAGAAAACATAGGGGCTTATTGATGTTCGATGGATTCAATTAGTGCATAATGTGTTTTGTTGTGCAGGGGCGGATGGATATGGCATCCCCGATTTTGTCTGTGATATTTACTTCAATGGTCAGATGCCATGTTTTGGGGGTGTATTATCCTTAGACGGCGTTGACGGGAAAGAGTTGTGGAGACACTGGACAGGTAAAAATAGGGTATTTTTAGTACCTGCATGTACCTGTTGCGTGTATTTATATTGCACTTCTGGCTTATCAACTTTCAGCACATGAAGTTTTTGCGTTAAATTGCAACGAAGATATAAATCTTGATCGAATACCTGACTGCCTTGTGGGAGGGAGAGCTGGGGTATGGAAATATTTGTACTTCGACGTTTACGTAAATATCAAGTGGCAGGGAAGTCATGATGATTTGTTTCAGGTTTTCTGTGCAATAAGTGGAAGCGACGGAACTCTATTGTGGTCGTTTGATGCAAAAAATGCCCTCATGAACATTTATACGTCTCAGTTTATTCGCGATTTAAATGGTAAGTACTTATAACACATACTTATACCTCGTTAACGGTTGCATAAATGCACTCATATAAATTTCAATTATTAAGGCGATGGGGTTCAAGAAGTATTAGCAGTGCAGGGGGGCGACCCATTGGCGGAGCCTGGTAAGTCATGATGAAAGTAGTTTGCATAATCTACGTATGAATAATGTGTTAGTTTTCTAATGAGGATTTATAAGGTTATCATTCATTTTTTTTGCTCGTAGGAAGTACAAACCGATTGTCTGGGAGGATAATGATCGTTAGTGGTAAAACTGGCGAAGTTTTACAGGCGGTAGGAACACCAGACCAAAAAGAAAGTTATTATTCCCCACAAATTTTAACTTATCCGGATGGCACGGATTACGTTTTATTTGGAACGGGCGGCGAGGTGTGCTACCTTTATTTACTCTCGTTTATCCGTCCTCGTTTATTTTGCAAATGCGATACGCATATGCATTGCATTACATATATTTCGAAATTAATATTTTTTTTACTTGAAACGACGAAGACTCATGGAGGAGGACTTTACCTTCTCTCCCTGGCAGAACTGTACAAGGGGTCAACAGAAAATGTAAGTTTTTGTAGTATTATCAACACTCTTTCCTGATTACAACCCTTTCTGACTTATACAATTTCTTCAGATTGGCTCAAAACGTATAATTACTAATCGTCAGATATTAGTTGTTAATTAGTTGCCAGCCCATAATGTCACCCTTTCATTCCTTCAATAGAACCCACTCGTTATTAATTGCATGCATTTACTTGCCTTTGTGGTATGGCATCTACCCAAAGCAGGATTTTTAGAATAAGTAAGCCTTTGATCCTTCAGAGACAACCTTCCAGTTAATTACTCTGTGGTGTTGGCAATCGCAATTTGCGATTGCCAACACTCGCAATCAGTAAAGCACTTAATTAGAAACCATTCTACAATTTACCATGAGCTGGCTGACATTTCGCACACACTATGAAATTATGACGGAGAAAAATTAGCGAGCTATTCACTCTCCAGCTTGTGCTAATAATTAGTTTTAGCGTTGTCGTAACCCTAATTAAAAGTGGTTTGTTTAACAGGCAAAACTGCTCTACCAAGATGACCAAAAAGGAATTATGGTTCCTCCAGTAATTGCAGATATAAATGGGTAATTAATAATATATATAACACATATATTTAGGTTTAGGTATATGTATATATACACTTATATTTGCATAAATAGGGACTCAGTCGCAGATATCATTATGGCGATGTTCAACTCCAGCGTGATAGCGTTTGATGGGAACTCATTCAATCAGATTTGGAATTATTCATTCCCATCCTCTGAAACTTACACGTGAGTAAATTTACGTATGTACATGTGTCCATTAGCAGAGTTTTGTACCAGGCGTCTCGTTCTTATGTATTTATTTATGTAGTTATGCAATGCTCACTCTTTTAACGTTCCGTAAAATGAGGAAGAATGAATTAGGTACTGCTTATAAATGACAAGATTAGCCGAACGAGATTAGATTATTCCTCAGAGCATTTGACAGCATGCACCAGGAACCAAGAAGAACCTCCCTCTCTCAAGGATGACGTTCACGCGTTAGGTTAATTTAGTGGATGAGAAATAAGAGAATGCTTTAAACTACTCTCGTAGATTAAACTACTCTTCTCCGCACTTGTACTTTGCTTGGGAGGAAAGAAATCTCTTCAATATTTAAACAAATTGTGATGAAGTAGGCGAACATGGACAGAGAGAAAAGCAGAACGCCCGAAGAGAAAGTAAAAAACTTTCCCGTCTTTCTCGCTAGCATCGCTTCATTTTTTTTAAAGAACGACCTTATACATTGCAAAATGCATGTGTTTGTTATATGTACTTGAAAATAAATGAGGACGGATGTATAATGTGCATACGTACATATCAATGTAATTTGTATTTATGCAGCACTTTGACACCTGGATACTTTAATGATGACACTGTCCTCGACTTTCTTGTCAAATACCAGTTTGGTCCAGGCTTCCCAGTCTATTATTATGCAAAAGTAAGTTAACAAAATTTCCTAAATTTGATGGTGTATAGTACATGTGAAAAATGCACTTGGAGAATTGCCATATTTGCATTTCAATTGAAAAGAATTTTTGAGGATGATGTTCATTATGCTTCTTTATACATATTCAGTGTAAGAGTACAGTTAACGTCATTACTGTCTGTCTCATTATTTAAATACCCCAGTATAGACTCAAATGAATCCATCCAGTAACATAAATGTATATATGTTACCGTATTTGCTCTTTGATAAAAATAAGTACACGACCCCAACTTCGATCCTCCTGACGCACACGACGGTGACGACCACGATGTTGAAATCCAAACCACAACCAACTAACTAGCCATACTTCCATCTTTTTGATTTGCTTACTTATTCGGTTTCTATATTTAAATCCACGTTCGTTGTTTAACTTTATTACTTGTACATTATTATTTTTGAAAATGGGGTCCCAAGAAATGATAAATTATTTAGATGGATGTACTCATTGGTACACTTGATTGGGGATGAAATCCAAGTTATCCAATTGCATTTTTCTGAAATGTTGGAGCTAATTTGAAACGGGAAACTGTGCAATTGGATCATTTTCTACTAAACCAACGTCGTATCGAGTTTTAAAATATTTCTTCCTTGATGTCCCTTGATATTTGTTTCTTTTTCTCCTCCTGGAAGACTCGTTATGAACTTTACTCATGCACATACATAGTCTGTTTCTTCCCTTGGTTGTATTTATGATAATCATGTTGCACTTTTTTCTAGACGACGGTCTTGGACGGGATCACAGGTTCTCCGATTTTAGAAAAGCCGATAATTGACACAATTGGTTCGCAAGCGAGCACCCCGCTCATTCGATGTGAAGGATTTGGTAACGACATTTTCCTTTATTGGAGCTCAAATTGCAAAGGATTTGAAAGCAATTCGTCCCAGTTCGCCTTTGTTAAAGGTAAGCCTTGGTAAAATCTCTGCTTACTTGCGCTCATTATACATAAATACATACGTCCCCCCGGTTAGAGCAAGTTTTTGATTTAACAAACTTTCTCAATTTTGTGATTTGCAAAAGTCGAGTACAGTTGAGTACACCATTTCCACAAAGAAACGGTGGCGATACCTCAACTTTTCTATCTTATTCTCCTCTTTTACCAATGTCACAAACTTCTCTTATTGCGTCTAATTAAGGACATTCAATCATTGGCGAAACCTGAGACAAACGTGTGGTTAGATTGGATAATCTAATTTTCATGGGTCATTTTCACCGAAACCCCATTTTGACTCGTGTGTTGTCACTAATTGGACTTTGTAAATAGATAATATAGAATTCTGCTCATGGATTATTATGCTAAAAATACAATTCTTCTCATTGTCATCACATAAATTATAATTGCATCAAAGAGCGTTTTTGAAGTGGTGTTTGAAATGGTGGTATGCATAGAAAAATAACATTTCACACTGCAACCCCATCTCATTAAATTCCCAAAGATAAAAGGAGAAAAACATCCTTCGTTATTTCTCACAACTCGACTTTTTTTTACTGTTTTGTTGAAAACATCGTTAAGGTTTGGCATGAAAGAAGAAATAAACTCATTGTGCACACATATTGCGTTGCAACATATTTCTAATCATGAGAAGTTGTTATTGAAATGAATGTTTTGGTTGTATACATACGTATTTTTTGCAGGGACAACTGTTCACGAGCAGAGCAGGGCAGACTTCTGTAAACTTCGATTCAATTCGAAACTAATCAACCAACTTCGAGCCTTCAACCATGGCACCGGTCTTCCTGGTTCTGTCATTTACGACTCGGGTATGTTTGCTTTCGAATTAAAATTTCCTTTGTCAACTGGCTTGCTTTCTCTCGTTTTATCACCACATCTTCCAAGACACGTCTGTTTCATTCATTTCTGGGTTTTCGCGAAGTCTTACATTACGACTAGTTTGCTCTGGAACACAAATCTCAAGACTTTTGTTACCAATGAGCACTACCAAAGTTTGGTGATAGGATTTGACGACGCCTACTGTTTATAAACATTATTTACAGAAGGTATGTGTACAACCTGATGAGATCAGACGTGGTCCCTTAAGTTTAAAAGATTATGGTTCGGGATTTTGATTTTGTTCGCTATTACGTAATGCTCTACAAACAAGCCATCATACTATTTTCGTGCAAAATTGCAAGTTGCCAATTTTGACAACTTTCGCCGAAATTTTAAGGTAGTTTATCCATATATTATTACACTGGTTTTTAAGGCTTCGTCTTTTTTCCCATGAGACAAAATACATAAGATTCTCTACACGTAATCTGAAAAATTTTGCTAGAACGAGAACGAATAAATAAATGAAGGTGCAGGCAGTCTGCAGAACTGCATTTCCCACGATGATGGATGGTGAAAGCAGAATAAATCTCAAAAACATGAAGGAGACAAGACACAGAATCCCAGAGAGTATAACACTAATTAAGTCCCTTGTTGCGAATGTAGTGAAATGAGCTGAATATTCAATTGTGTCTGCTTGGCATCCCTGGAGTTGATGAATGTATTTGCACGGGCGGATGAAAATGTATGTATCACTACTGATGGGGTAACAAAATATATGGAGCTATTTGGCAGCTACATACCTACATAACTATACTGATGGTTAGTTTAGTTAGTGGGTTTTGGTTAGTTAGTGAAGGTGGGCGTACGCCAAAATTCAATCAAACTGATTTCATACCACGATCAGGAGGAGCAGTGAGATAATGAGAAATCGTCTATTTTGCACACTCTTCCTCTCTGTCGACTCCATTATCCCTGCGATGATAGCAATACTACAATATCATCATCCTCCTCCCCCATCGCTCCTGTTAATGAAATGTTCATTGATTGAATTGCACACGAATAAGTGACATGTTTTGGAGAGGAGTGAAAAGGTTGAATAAAGCGGCGTTCGGCCTTGTTTTGTTGAGCGGAATAATATGCAATATGTGTGCACACGTATCAACAAATGGAAATAATAATACTTTCTCCTTAATGTCAGCAATTGTCTGTTGCGTTTTGGCTAAAGTAAAATAAACCAGGGACATGGGCGTCATGTCGCTGTCAGTTTTCCGTCATTTACTAGGAGAGACCTCTCTTTCTTATTGGCTTGGCACTACTGCGTCTATTACCGGGTTTTCGTCAGACGCGTAATATCATTTCCATTGGTAATAAGCTGCGGAAGGACCATGAATTTTGTTAATCATGGTGCAAGCCGAGTTTGGTTGTTTATTCAACTATGCACTATGTAGCAAGTCTCATCCGTTCAGTGGGTGGCATTGTTTTGCATGGAAGCCTTAAATCTGGGTGGAATGAAGGATTTTCTCTATCACGATGAGGTATCCGTTTGAAAAATAGTTCCCATCATGGCGTGTTGCACTCACTCATATAATATTTCAAGGTCCATTAACCCACAATATTGAATTTGCAGCTGGTGGTGTCTGGTGTACGTTTAGTGTCGTGAAAGGTCTGGTTTGTAGCTTGGATTATTCGCCCAATTCCTCTTCTTCTCCTTGCAGTCTTTTAGGACAAGACAGAGACGACCAAAATGGAGGCTCGCCTCTGACTTCAATTTCATCCAATTTCGAATGGAAGAGAAAGTAGAATGCTTTGTGTGACTTTGTCCCTTATTGAATGAAGACTACAATGATAGATTGCGACAGGATGACATGTTGATGGAATTCTTGTCCAGGTTTGCAGCTGAAGCAGCAGCACTCGGAAATATTTGCAGGTTGGCCGGGTGGTCATCTAGTCTTCTTTCTTCCCCTTTGCTTGCGTCTACATTGTCGAATCTACATCGAGAGAATTCGTCTGGAGGATAGCAGTTCCATTCTCATTGTTTTCGGACCATTGGCTATGCGAAGCTAGGAACTTAAATTCATATCAGCGAGGAGAATATATGCATAGCAGTGGTGAACTTGAAGGTATATCTACTTCTGCATCTGTCCATGCTCGTATACATGCCATTCGAAAGACGAGCACTCCAAATTGTTGCTTGCTTCACCCAGAATTCACAAGAATTCGTAAATTTCATTATGAGGACAGCCACTTTGTTCATGGCAATGGGTATGTATTTGGATGGAAGAACCGTATGTATTCTGGAGCACACTACTTTTGGTCGATGTTAGTTTTGCACTGAAAATAAAAGTAATTGCATAGAACGACACGGCCCAATTATTAATTTTCGAAATTGAAGTTGTGTACATATTTACACTCATTACTCATATTTTTAATGAGGGACGTGTTGTAACATACATATTTGTACTTGTAGTACTTAATTCATTCCCTGATGATCGGTGGCTCCCACGAGTCGTGGGTATAATGTACTTTATGCCATAATTTCGACATGCCATATCTAAATACAGGTACTTTTGAACATCCGACAGAGGCAGCCGCCCATAATTAAGCGAACTTCAAAGCATTCAACTCTCCCATATTCCATATCTGAGTTTGTAATTAAAGATGGTTATTATTAACGTGACTTGTAGTACGTGTAGTACAGATAATGAGGGAAAAAGTCGTCATATTTTATTTTCATCCAGCCTATTTTTACGTAGTTTTGTTGACGAACATTACTCAATTTTCAGTTTTTTAGGGAGAGCACAAAATCTTTTGTGAACTTTCTCCACTTTCTCTAAGATTTGACGACAATTTCTCGATTCCTTCTGCCATTAAGTTATGCGAGGTCAAGGTAGAGTCAGCATTAGCTGAAAATTTATGCACTTGACAAAGTCATTTTATCACAGCTAGTGAAAGTCGCACCAAATTCTATCAAATATAAAATGATTGAATCGATGATCACATTTGCAAAGCTATTCTATGACTATTTTTATCTGCATTGCTAACTTGTTGCCTTTGCCAAACTTGTAGAATTACGAACTGCTCTGGAGTACAACAACACAGTCGACACTTCAGCAGATGGGCAAAATTACTTGCGAATGCATCCCGAAATGTGGCAATATCTAGATCAACGCTATTCTAATGTGAAACCGCAATCAGTGGATACGTCAGATATAATTCCAAGATATCCAGCATCCGCACTAATGCCGCCAGGTATGGACACCAGGGGCGGAGGAAACCTGGGGGGCCAGTCATCTCTTGGGCAATATGTGCCCAGCTATCCTGGAGGATCCGCTGTTTATGAGTTGCCATCTCAGCCTGAGCTCAGTGAAAGCATCAAGTATCCGACGTACCACAGTGTGCATAAACATGGCAAGTACCCCATCCCTCAGTCCGTCCTAGGCTCAGAAGTGGCAGGAGGTGGGGGCATGAGTAATGGGAACGGGGTACGAGATCTCAATATTAACGTCGATCGTAGAACTCAGCATCTCTCTTCTCCTTCCCTCCAGCAGGCAGAAGAGCGGAGAGGAGAAAGCAACGGAAATGTCAACATGTGGCCGAGCTATTACAACAAACTCGCTCCTGGGATGGACGAAGGGGAAAAATATCCGGCCGTTTTTCCGTATTCAAAAAGCACACTGGGTCATCTCAGATATTTGCCACAAAGCAGCGATGGTGAAAGTGCCGCTGAGATGAATCGGGAGCGAAATGAAGACATGGCAAATGTTCTTGGGGCTGGAGGTGAAGATCAAGCGATGCTCAATCAATATCTTCAACATCCTCAAAGTAGGTGGAAAAGGGACGAGGCACGAGAGGATCGTGTCAGGACAGCAAGTGCACGCCAGAAATTTGATGAGCTGCGGAAACGCGTGCTTAGCAAAAGACACATTGGGCCTCATGACATGGATGGGATTCAACGCTTGATTTCAACAGGTAGTTCCATGTCGTTATTATTATAGTCATTTCGACAAGATGGAATTTATAAATGTCATCCCAGCATATGCGTATGTACGCTGGGATGAACCTCCAAATCAGGCTTAATCGACCGTTCAAAGTTAGTCGTCCGTAAATACATTTGAGCTCTTTGTGTACTAATGAGCATGTGTGATAACGAGGTTATGCGGATGCGATGCTGAAAACCCGATAAATATTGAGAGGCATATTTCATAAAACATTTCAGGAACTCTGGCACAACCGGTTAACGGTGAAGGTATCGATCTCATATTTGCGACGTACTGGTTCTTCCCAGCAAAACCTCAAGCTATTCTCCCAAAGGACCAGGAATGCATCCAGGAAAAGCTCTCTAAAGAGACCGAGCGCTTTGATGAAAGAAGTAAGTCATAATTTTCATCGCCCTAATAATTAGCATACAAGGTTAACTAGAAATTAAGTAACGCTGTCGTCATCCTTGCGATAATAATTATCCGCAATAACACATTATGCAAAATGGTATATCGTGCTTTGTTTTTCTATATGTGCATATTTATTTGAGTTATTCAGTTGAGTTGCAAGACAAGACAAAAGTTTATGGCTTGAATAATATGCAATTAATCGGTCAGACTCGGAGATTGATATTGAATTAAGTATAATAATTTACTCATTCATTGGCTATCTCTTGATGCCGACTGAGCGGGACTTTCACCTTGCACAAAAGTCAAACTGTGAATATTCTTTGTCTTTGAAGTTTTAAGGCATAATACGTGAGCTAATTATTCACCAACCTTGATTGAATAACTTACAAGTTACTAGATTCTGGACTTGTTCAATCAAGTCCTAACTCCTAAATATGCACATGTTCAGTGTTGCACTGCATTCCTTAGCAACGTGGAGGTTTGAGGAACTACACAAAACCAAGATTCCTAAACTTTTTAGTTTGTTTCCGTGGAGTGAATGTGTTAAGATTATGTAATTACATAATTACATAATCTTAATACATTCACTCCACGGAAACAAACTAAAAAGTTTAGGAATCTTGACACAAAACCATGAATAAGTGAAGGTAAAATCTTGAGTTAAGCTTGTATAATAAATTGGATTAGTTTCTCTAGTGTAGCCGCTTAAAAATTCGTCCTTGAACATTGAACTCATGTCCATAGCTCAGACACACTCTCAAACACAAAGCTAAAGTTAGCTCTTGCAGTCATTAGTGCATTAATAAGCAAATCGGTTACGCAAGACGATGAAATTGTATGGAGCTACCTACGCCCAAAGTCGAGACTTGACAAGCAGAAATACCACACGTCCCACGTTGACAAAACCGATTGTTAACTTTGCTGGCCACTTATTCCCTGAATATCACACCAAATGCAATCCCAGAGTAAAGCACCGACCACTCTGGAACTTTCCAGTCACACAGCACGACATGGACTTTGCATGCACATGTTATAGACAGGTCAGAGGAGGTCCTCGGAAATACTGCATGTACTGGGAAGATGAGTTTATACTGGGTGAGTAGAAAATGTACATTGGCGAATTACCCTATTTTCACCAATTGTTATGCATACGTTCCATTCCTCAGACCTGCCACACGGCTATAATCATGATGTTCAGGTAGAAGGGCCCTTTCAGGGCAAAATTGTGTGGAATAAAGTGGATCCCTATTCTTGGTTCCAGCCAAATGAATGTGAGCAGAATGATCCTCGTCGTCGAATTATTGGGACAAATAGAACCAAACGATCAAGGGTAACAGGTGCGACTGGCGGACGTAATGGTCCACGCACACATACCGAAATGAAACACGGGCACAGGAAGAATGAATTTATGCATAAAGCACAATTTCGGGACGGAGTCATTGTGACAAATTCTCAAACAACTGGAAACAGCACGTCCAATTCAGCATCTGAAGAAATAATATTTCATATGAAACCAGAGCCAGGATTTTCCTCGGGTGTTGGCTTTGAGGAACTGTTATCGCCGAATAGTGGCAACCGCAAGCCAGCCCCCCAATCTACCGGCGCATTTCCAACCATGAAAAATAAGAAAAATAAACCCCTCAAATTAAAGCAAACTGCTCCGCCCGTGATGACTCATATTCTCAAGCATCCAGCTCCTGCAATTCAGCCAGCTTCAAAAAAAGCCAACAGTACTAAAGATGATGCTGAAAATAATGCATCAAACCCCCCAAAAGGAAAACACGCCTTATTACCCACCACAAAAGAGGTACCCAAAGACCATTCTGCAGAACCAACTGACAAGCAGCCATCAAATAAAAAACACAAAAAAGTTCCGACTTCAAAGGTCACCAAATCTGCTGAGGTCAAGAGTCATGATTCCTCTTCAGGGTCAGGTTCGTCATCTGGATCAAGTTCATCGTCCGACTCGTCAGATCTGAAAGGGGTCGATTCGAAGATTGTATGTCAAATTGACCCAGTCACATTGACCCGCTCATATTGACCCAGCGACAGATTGACCCAACACCATGTTGATTTTATTTACATTTTTGTGATCCCAGATAGTTGCTCTATCATATCCAATTCCAAACTCAACTTTTTTGAAATTTTCAATATTTTTGAAGATTTTCTGACCAATGTATTGAAAAAATTCGAAATTTAAAAAAAGTTGAGATTACTATGGGATATGATAGAGCAACTATCTGAGATCACAAAAATGTAAATAATCCAAATCTGACCAAAACTCGATTTTGGGTGATGATTTTAGTGGGACAACTCTGGGGGTTTGACGTCTTTGAGGGGGTGTGGCGGGCGTAAACGGGCTCATGGAGTAAAACCCTCCTTCACTTTTGTACACTGATATAATAGTACTACAACATATCCAAAGGACAACAAAATCTGGACATGACAACCTGTGGCACTCTACTCCTGAGTTTGACAAAAAGGGTAAACTGCGTATCACACGCTACGGGCGTAAATATTTGTGTATGCAGTAAATAGTACATGTACATATAGCATGGGATCAATATATATATGACTTTGGTGAATCTATCGCTGGGTCAATCTGACGTTGGGTCAATTTGTCGCTGGGTCAATATGGCGATGGTTAAATTTGTCGCTGGGTCAATTTGTCGTTGGTCAATGTGACTGGGTCAATTTGACGCCTCACCGATTCGAAGGGGGAAGGCACCCAGTCCATTGACGGACACACTACAGTTGTGAATGCGACAACCCTAATTTTCACTGCTGACGAAGAGCGTGCAAGTAGAGCAGGATCAGCTTCCTCAAATCAAACTTTACCCCCATTGACAAAGTCGGCCCCAGAGTTAAGACAACCATCTGATACTAAACACGTGGCCCCACTAGACACCAAATCGGAAGAAAACATTCCACTTTCGAGAAGTAAGGAGCTGCCAAGCCCAGACGCTCCTGCAACAATAGACAAAAAAGTTCCAAAAAATTTACCAAAGACAAATCCGCCGCACACGAAATCAAATAAGTTGTCCAAAGTTGCACCACAATCCAAGAAGGAGGCATCGTTTCCATCTGCTACAGTTCTTCCTGCTCCTACAAAACCAGTAGTAAAAGAGGAACCGAATGTAAAATTGACCAACAAAAACAATGATTATTACGAAGAAGAAGCACCCACTACAGACGTTAGCAAATCAGCTTATCGACCCACTGATGACAAGCGTCCTCCAATCAATCAAGAAACTGTGAAGGACAACAATTTTTGGGGCTTTACGTCTACACGACATATCGCACAAAAGCCAGAGATTCGAGTGCCGCGCGTCTACTCTTTGGACCTCGCGAGCAATCCGAAAGCCAAGGAGACTCTCATTGAAGAAAGTGAAGATGTCGTGACGACTGTGGTACCAGAAGCGTCGTTGCACTCGCACACAATTCCTGACCCGTACAACACTGTCCCATTGCCGGACGCTATGTCGAAGGACGTGGTAAAAAACATGATAGATGAGAAAGAAAAGGGGGATGAAGGGGAGGAGTCTTTGGTGAAGATGCCAATCAAAGCTACGCCATACACTAAGGAACCACCTCATGGACTGAGGGTATCATCTCAAATATTTAACTAAAGGGTTTGGGTGTTTCGTGCTTGTATCTTTTGTACATATGTCACATGCAATTTCAGACCTTATTTCCTCCCAATCTGGCGAAAGCAGTTGCAAAGAATCAGTCTCAAGTTCAGGTAGATAATAATCCCCAGGTTTAGTTCATAAATTTGTAAGGGTAAAAATCAAATTTCTGTTTTTCAGCAACTGAAAGTTGACTCTGTGGTAAATAAGGCTGCCCGTGTTGAGTATGAGATTTATCAGGATGACTACCGCAACCCAAAGTACCGATTCTTTAAGAAATACAAAGAGAAAGTTACTGCAGAAGATGTGAAGGAAAAGGAAAATTGGGTGGGTTGTGTGTTGGGTTGGCTTTTATAATAACTGAATTTCCTGAAATATCTAAAATCATGATAACAATTAGGTTCCGTGGGCCAATTGTTTCGACAATAAAAAGCAGGAAAAGAAATTCCACATAGACAAGAAACTGGGAGCGTTGGAAGAGGTGCAAGAGTTCAGAAAGGCCAAGAAACAGGAACAGATTGACCAATACGGAAAGGGTCCCATTTTTAATAGGATCGTGTCATGTCTTTGTGGTGAAGATAACGAAGCTGGGTATCAAGTGCCAGGGTACAAATTACTCAATTTATTTCTTCTCAAAATCCAAGCAAATCCAAAACTTATTACATGTGCAAAACATATTTATTATTAACACAACGGCTTATTTTTAGTTACAAACCTCCAGAATTGGAGGAGGACGAAGATGACCTTCAGCATTTCATGGAGGCGCCACATTATAAAGAAAAGCGCAGAAGTTACTGACTGACATGTATTTTTATATTCTTATGTTGCCCGTTATTGATTAAGTTACAAACAAAATTATCAGTTGTAATATCAAACGAACAATAAACAATCTCAGTCAAATTCTGCATGAAAGTTCTTATACAATAACCTTCGTGTAATAATTAAGGACACAGACTGAACGTGCATACTAAATGGGAATGGGGCGAAGGGAGAACTCACTTTTTCGACTAGTGACATTCGAGCGTTGTCTGTTCTGTTCTTTTCTTTTCAATACAATTTAATGAATAGAACGGAAACTGCTCTTAATCATCTCACGTTGCACACACACATATTGCCCTCCTGTGCATGTAGAAACGGAATCTGCTCATTAGTGAGTTACAGCACGAACTGAAAACATCCACGTTTGTTTGTGTGCTTTACAGGCAAATACTACGGGATGGATCATGACCAGTACGAGGATACTATCACGAACGAATGTCTCCAACAACAAGACGATCAGCATCAGCAACAGCCACCGTCTTCTTCTTCGTCTGATGGAGTGGATGAAAATGATGAGGGTTCATCAAGTCAAACAGCCGAAGGACAAAGAACGAGCGGTTCTGGTACTTATGAAAGTCAATCCTCATACAATCCATTTGATGTCCAAATGGGGCAGATGACAGTGTACCGGGTTCACATCACTTGTTCGTGCTCCGAATTTAATAACAAAAAATCCAGTGATGAAAAAGGTTCTCATAAAAACGAAAAGAAATGCGCTAGTATTTTACCAATGAAGGATCAACCCTGGTCGGGATATATGGGATCCCATGCGGACTCGCACCTCTTGAAAAAAGTCAACATTATGCCCACCTCACAAACAACATCTTCCCCAATAACGCCCACAAAGTCAGTTCCTTAACTCAGCGAGCAAGGTAAAGCCCACCAAGCGCTGCATACGTACATACGTCTCTAAAATTACGACCCCGTTTTTATGAGAGGCCTCTCCATGTACATCCAAGCTCGTTCAATCCAAGTCCAAGGCTATCCGTTCAGCCAAGACCTCCTTCAATCCTCCTTCCAAAAACCAAACATGAGCTCATCTTTACTAGCGAAGCATTAGATCGGCATTGAGGGCCACCCGAAATGAACCATCTCTTCAATTGAAACACGGAAAAGTCAGTCGATGGAGTAAAATTCTTAATCAAATATCCTGAGGAATATATAGATGAAAGAAAGAGGGAAATCGGGAGAGAGAGAGAAAGAAAAATGGGGAGAAAGTTGGATTGGTCGTTCTACTCGAAAAGAAAATCGAAGCATGTGAAAGATAAATGGTAATAAAACCTTGTGCTCCAGCACAGGTTTTTTTTACTACACGTTTTCGTTGTGAATGATAAGCAAGGAGAAATAGGACATCCACCTTTCTTCCTCCTTTCTCTTTCCACCCCTGCATTCACTCATTTGATATTAGTCCTCCCCATCATGATGTGCAGCTCTATGGAGCAAGAATCCACCATTAAGGCTTCCTCAGGCTGTGTTGCAAGAAAGTCGCAAAAATACTCCTCACAATCTTTTACTCTCATCTGTAAACCAGCCAAGGCTTCTGTTCCAGGTACACAGCTAGCACGGCCAAACTGCTGAAAATCGGCCAACTGAAGGAAGGGAAGTAAAGCGAGGAAGGGTAATGGGCATTTCATTGGATATTATGTGCCGGTCTCATATTGTGAGTGAAAGCAAAAAGGAAAATCGTTTCTTTATTTCGCCAACATTCATTCTTTCACGGCTGGAAATATTATATAGCTTTTGTTGATATGATGAGGTTAACTGTTTCTGTAACTGGACACATCTCCGTGTCCAAAAGAATGAAGGTGAAAAGCAGTACCGTCGATGATCTCAGGACTCACGGACTCTTGAATCGTATTGATTCAAGACCCGTGTCGTATTTCATATAACTGAATATGAGCACCACATGCGACAGAACGGTATCAAATCAAAATGACACTTTCAATTAACGACTTGACTTTCCGTAAAATAATACTACATAAAATAATGACATCTCTCTATTTTATAGCCACGTGTGAAGGTCTATTTAGGATTAGTAAGCGTCATAGTATTAAAGATTTAGTATTACTAGTGTACGTAATGCAACGTTTTACACAACATCATCTGTATAATAATTAGTTATGCTATGCTGTTAGCGTTGGAAATTTGTCTGACAATTCTTGCTTTGCTTTCATTTATGTGGGCGTTAATCGTTCATGGATATGTGAGTTTGAGTTTATAACAAGTTTTATGTACGACGTAGTGGATTCTACTATTGCGCACCTCTTTATTATCACCTCACCTGCATTTTGTATATACCTGGCAAAATAATCCCGATAATTCCATATTCCTATTTTTATTTCGTCCAATACATACATTTACAAACCTTAATTACTACTCGTGTATAGGAATTTGTGTGATTGACTTGAATTCATCAAAGTTATATGTGAGTACAAATGTTATATAAATGAATAAAAATTGGAAAACCATGTCTTTATAAGTAATCATCAGTTTTATTGATTTTTTTCGAATGAATTCCTTATAAATATAAGTAATATTCAACTCCGATGTTCAAAAGAAATATGAAAAGGGTTATCGAAAGAAACTGGTGAACACATAATTGAGAAATATGTACGTCAGACTTTAACTTTGGTCATGGTTTGCTATAACCTTATATTTAACTAATACTTAAGAAGCCACTTGGGTTGACTTTTTGGGATGGGAGTTTTGGAAGGAAGTCATGATGGTAATTGGATACGAATTTTTAATGAGAACTCCATTTCGGTGAAAGTCTAAACCAAATAAAAAATGAGTTTTCCCATTGACTCTGAGCTGTGGGGAAAGGTAAACAAGAAATTTGAGCTGTTGTTACCTCCTCTCGCTTCCAGAGAAGATGTGTCCTCCTGCCTGTCGTTCCAGCAGTCATTTAATGGAGATGATGATGCTGATGTCTCATATCGTCCTCTCATTTTCTTCTCTCGAGGCACCACAAGCATTATATGGATACACACAAGCAGTGGGCAAAGCCTTTCGCAAACATCACACTTTTTCTTAATCCAAAACTTTACTGATAAAGAGAAAGTTACACAAACCCGTGAGATGTGAGGGCTGTGGAAATGGACGCGAAGCAATTCTTGACCCAGTAATTCCGTTGTCATGAACTGGGCGAGAGAATGAGCTCAATTTTCGACACTGTCGATTACGGAAGATGATAAAAGGAAGATTAGAGGCGGATATTGTGTCTTATTATGGACCATCTAATTCTCATTTATAACTGATTCCAGCCGCATCATCATCCCTGCCATAAAAGTTGCCCGTTTCCTTATTTTCCCTGTAAATTACGACGAGTCTGCCGAGTCTGGGTGGAAGCTTTCCCTTTCTCCACTTTTCCTCCAGAAAAACAGCACAAGGCAGACCAGCACCACTTTCTTATTTTCTCAACAGCCTCCATCTTATCACTTGGGCGATGATCATCCTCCTGAATATGAAAGCAAACAGAGCAAGAAGAAGAACATATTCACACACACACGATCATCCCACCAACATCATGATCATCCTCCTCCCTCCCCCGACAAGCGACAATAATATGTATGCACAATATCTAGATTATTCTAGATTCCGTGTTTGTATACCATGTTTGCATTCCCCCAGCATTTGCCACTTTGTGGATTAAACAGCATTTCTCTGATCTCTTACTTGATCATTTAACGTCAACATCCCGTATTTTATGTAGTTTTTCTCATTTTTGGAGTCTACTAGAAAACAAAGGTTTGCAAGACACACTTACACCGAGGGTTTCCACACTTTTTCCTTCACTTCAATAGCTTTCATTGCGACTCAATGACTGAGTAAGCAAGTCTACTTGCATCGAGCGAATGTGTGCATATTATAATTTTATGAACGGATTGTTGGCGATGGCAGACATTTACATAACATACGTAAGCTCCTTCATGATGATGGAAAGGAAGTCACGAATTCCCACTGCGAAAAAGGCTGTCGCTCATGAATGCTGAACACGAAAACAAATATTTACATTAAAAATCGAAAACTGGTCCATGCATGCCAACATCATGCCTCTCAACCAGCCGATGACAGCTCCGTGTAGTATTGATAGTGCAGAGGGCAGTTCTTTTGGGGGACAATCATGCGATACATGTACGAACATCCAAATACGACTTTACTCCTAAACCTGTCATTTCAGGGAAAGTGCCCACATGGCGATAATATCGAAATAAAATTGACGTGAAGTGCGTGAAAAATATGTATCTTGAAGGATGATTCTCTTTCGTAGGATGAAATCTGTGTCCTTTTTTAAGTCTCCAAAAGTGTGCGTCAATTTAGGGTTGGGTACTTTTAAGTATGTGGCGTAGAAAGCTCGCTCGAACCTAAAAGGTGTGCCAAGCAGTTTATAATGTGTTAAGAAAGAAAGCTGCCTCGGCACCACCCAATGGATGAAAATTGAGAGGGTAACTCCACATATTGCTGAATAAATGTTTCAAAACCAACACAATACGTATTCTTGTATTGCGAAAGAGAATGAAAATAAGTAAGTGGGAAAGGCAGTTGGAGAATGCACGTAATATTGAAATGCTGAAGGAAATGTGGACCAACTTGCGAGATGGTTGCATGAGCGTCAATGCCTCCAAAACCCTTCGTCATTCCCAAACCATGTCAAATGAAGATCGTAAAGATCCGAGAAACGAGAAATGATGACAGGGCATCATCTTCATAATGTGGCTTCCCGGCGTTATCGTTGCACCCGGCTGTCACTTTGATTACTTAAAGTGCCTCAGTCCATTTTTTTCTCTCCCAAATTCAGGACAGAATTTCTACTTTTGTTGTACATGCGTTTACTTGATGCTGGTTCAAGTTTCAGTTCCAGATGCTTAGCTTGCCAAAATCTCTGTCATTTTCTAGCAATTATGGGCCAATAAAGAACTGCAGGGGTTCACCCATAATGTGAACGACTTCAGAATGCCCTTCGTGGATCCAAAAAAATACCTACCCCCAAGAATTATAGATTTTTACTACTTAAATTGGTATTTTTTCTCTCACCTTGAATTTAATTAGGTTTCTTCCCAAACTGAAATATCCAAATACCCAACGTCTCAATTTCAACAATCAATTCGAATTTCAAATTGTGATGTGTTTCACTGAAGAAATGTGTTTCGTAATCCTAATTTGTTTTATTTACTTGCCTGGATTGTTGTGTTGGTAGATTGAGGGTCGTAAATATTTCATAGTTGATTGCTTTGCAGCAGAATTAAATACTTGTGTACATATTTCCTACATTCCCTGCACACAACATGTTCCACCCAACAACCAAGTCAGTCATTAAAGGAAGTTACGACGTGGAAACGTGCATCAAACTACTCTCTCATCATCAATGTAAGTACTCTTTCGCTAAAAAAACTCACTAGCAAAGTAGTAATTGGGTTCTGCGTCATACAAATTGTGAGTTGATCTAATTTCTCCTGGTTTTTATTATCTGAACAATGTGCATTCATGGAAGTCACTAAAAGTGAATAAGACATGCATCAAAAGGAATAAGGTCATGTTATTGATTGTTTTTACGTATCCATACAAGTTATTGTGGATTGTGGTACCTCTTTGCGTGATGAAAGCGTTCGACACAAGTTTTCATGGAAAAATGTGCATACGCTCTCCCACCTACTTTCATTATTAGGTAGGTTGCGAGATTACGTTAACGTGAGAAATTTCTCCCGTAAACGTTAAATTTTGCTTCCCGCCAGTTTTCGGCGGCGCCCATTTAAGGTTTACGTGAGTTTTCTTTACGTTCACGTTATTTTGGACGTTAAATCAGCCCATTTAGCGTTCGTTTAACGTAACCACCCACGATTTACGTAAAGTTTTTTCACCATGCAAATTTAAGAAAAATGAACAACAGGCATGTATTTTTTGTGTCAATTATTGATGAATGCATTAAATATATGTTTATACTAAATTGAAGTGATATATAATTAATTGCGAAGCATTAAAACAAGAAGTAAACTGATAATTTCTCATGTAAGTCTTAAAAAATGACGAGGCTTTAAGTTAAACTAAATAAATCTTCTGTTGCTTTTGTAGCGGTTTGCAAACTAAGAAATTAATTAGTAATTATTGATTATCTAATTTATTATACTACTATTTATTAAAACAACGTCAAGCTTGGATGGAGGAAAGGAAGTATGGAAAGAATACGAAGTGAATGATATTACACAATGAAGAGCTGCAATAACAAAAGCATCATTTGAATTAATTAGAAACCAGTAAATTTATTGTTTATACAATACAAGAATAAAGCCTTAGTATATGGCATCTAGATTTTCTTATACACACAATTTCATGGAAAATATAAATAATGCTCAAGATCTGGCATTGCTTCACAAAAGTTATCCGAAGTTTGGCTGCCGTGATGAAAAATCCGTGACTGCAATGAGTAGCAGGAAAAAGTTACATCAAGTCGACGTATCTGTGAATGAAATAATTAACTGATTTAGTGAATTGACTTGCTCTAGATTGATAAAATATGGTCCTCTTACCTGCTGGGATATGCAATCCTTAGAGTAATACACAAAGGGTCTCCGCAGACAAGCAATCGTGCCCCGAAGTTTAAGGGTGCATTGAATTTTCAAACTTATTTTGCAAAATCGAAAGTTAAAGAAAAAGAACTGGTCACCATTTAGTTCAATTTAAAAATTTTAATTCTTTTAATTGATTAATTTTAATTATTTGAAGGAAGAATGTCCTCTATTTCGAAGTCGGTCAATTCAGAGAGTAAATTTATTATTTGTTTTGAAAACACTGGCATTTTAAGCTAGTTTATATTCAGACAAATTAATTAATTACAATAGGCAAAATATTGCATGAAGAATGTAAACAAACCATTGAAATTAAATTCAAATTCAGCGCACAAGTTTACGTTCACGTTAATTCGCACACGTAAAATTCGTGCATCCCGTAAACGTAAACGTTAACGCCAAATTTTACGTTTGCGTTTACGTGATGTGACCTTATGAACCAGCGAAATTAACCCGCAAACTCGCAACCTACCTATTATATATGAAGAGTCACTACAAACCTGTTCTGCAAGATAAGTCCAGCAACAACTGCTTCGTGCTACACAATAAATTCTAACCAATCGTCGTATGACCATAAACGACATTTTTAATTGAAGATTTTGTGTGTGGACATATCTACATACGTATATGTTTGTATATTTATGAATAAATATATACACTTCATGAAATAGTTGGTAAAAAATACGATTTTACACCTAGTCTGCAGACTAGGGTACTTAGCTAGACGATGACCTCCCTTTATGAGTCAGTGTTGGACATAAGAACAATAGGTGTACATATGTATATAAGCTTATTTTTCTGATTGATTGCCCATCATGACATACATCAGATGAGAAGCATGTGGAGAGTTCACCTTACATAAAGCATTTCCATTTTCCGTCCTTCATTGAATGAAGCTTTCACAGCGAAATAGTGTGAAT